AATACAGATTTAATAAATATTAAATAGCAGTTTTGGTAAACTTCGGAGGGAAAACGAGATTAAAATATCAGCCTATTTTTTTACTATTATTATTGAAACATCCGTCTGCGGTTTGTATATTACCGCTAATAGGCTTGAAAAAACCTATATTAGAAATAATGCTCGGTTAACTTAACTTGAGCTGTCGACAAAATTTAAATTTATATTTCCAAGTGTTTGTATACTAATTAATTTAAAGTTTGTTGGTCAAACCAGTTGTTGTTGTAAAAAAATACAAATTATATTATTAATGTACACGCCTAATTTAATGATCCGTTGAATGATTGAGTAAACGCGATTTTAGGTGGCAGTCTTCTACAATGTACAGGTATATAGTATCTAGTATCGAAACATTATGTAACGCATATATTATAAGGTCAGCTACGTAAAGTTTTGTGTAGACTCGTACGTTTTTCGGGAAGACTGAAAACCGTCATAATATATTAGTTCAATATTTGTATTTCATTTAAACCGCATACATTACTCGTGATTGCCTATTAAGTATTCATTTGCAAATTATGTCTCATTAAGTTGCCATAATAATAATAATAATAATGATGATGATGATGATGATATTAATTAATGTTATGTTTATCGTTGGAATATAACGAAACGTGTGTTTTATTACTGAATTAATCGACTTGTATGTCCAAAAGATTGAAATGTTCTTCTTATCTATACATAAAACCATGTTGTTCTCGCAATAACAAGCGTTATCTGCCGATAGGGAACGGTCATTCGGATTACCTTTGATTTAATCGAATTTTATTATTTATAAACGCAAAAATACACAACAGCTATTTATATACAGCCAAACGTTAATTATTAAATTTGTACAGACTTCCTTTAACTGTAATAAATATGTTATAGTTTATACACTGTTTGTAAAATAAATAGTATTTTCAACACTGTTGTGCGAACGGTGTCCGGATAAAATTAAAAATGGTATTGATATAAAACTGATTTAGTAAAACGCCAAACAAAAGTACAATTTATGGAAACTCCGGTCAAATAGAAAACTATTCGAATCGTTAAAACCCCATTAGAACAGTTAACCTGGGTTGTCGATGGATTGTTAAAAAATAATTTACAATACATAACGACTGAAACAACATGAGCTGATGGAACCGGTTTGCACCAACACTTGCACCGGATTAAAGAATTATAGGATCTAATATTGTACATTAATACAGACGTTAGCATGGGTTTTTGTGAGGTGAAGAATGCATTTCTTCGTCTATAACTCGTGAGTTCGGTCTACGCACTAAAAAATAACCAAGCTTTTTCAAAAAATAACTAAAAAAAAAAATGTAGAGTTAATACGTCCTAATACCACGGCGGCTAAAGTAACCGCATTGCTCGTGCAAACCTGCTTATTAAACAATCTTGCTAATGACATTACCAACCAGCTCATGACTGGAAACTACATTTTTTACACTCCAATAACGTATTATAATAAATTGATCGCGTTCGAAGAATACTTTGTAATAATAAAATAAACATATTTAATAATACTTTTATATTTACATATGCCATAATTCATAAACGTAAAGCGTCGTCAATGGACGGATGGGCCAATAATCTGGGTGTTTGGTAAAACTGTATAATTATTGTATCGTTGATTTAATTACACACATAAATCATATAATAATATAAATTTAGATTTAATTTAATGGCCTGCAGCGGGATAGCATAATAATTCAATATTACTATCGTTGGTAATATTGTCAATTATAATATAGAATCGATCTAATAACAACTCAAAAATCACACACATAATCCTCGGGCATAATATACGTTTTTTTTATGTAAGTATTTTTAAACGGGGTGAACACTCGGCTATCTGATATTATGCCAGACCTTACAGTATAGCGATCATTTAAATTATTGTCCTAATTATTGAGCTTATAATAATTATATTAACCAATTTATACTGCAAATATTAGCTTCAGCAAACGACAACGTTTAACCAATATTTTTACAATATTGTAGTTACATAAATGAATATTATATTTTAACTAGTAGACGCATGTTAAAAAATAATAGCGATAATCTATTTGTGTTTTATTATTTGTTGACTTTTTTATGCTATTGTCTTTGGAAATAAATTTACTTAAAATAACAACAATATCTTGTGCTGCGTTTATTTTGTATACCATTTAACTGCAGTTCTGAGATATAAAACGACATAATGTGGGAATCACAGTCGCTATGTCGATTTGAGTTATAACACGTGCTCGTGACACAATAAAATATCAATACACCCTAAGTGTTTTTATTCATGTTTATTCACAGATCACAGACGGGTCTTTGAAATTTATTAGGTCGGCGGCGTGCTGCTACAGGACAGCGCCATACGCAACATGGACACGACTAGCTACACACACACACCACACGTTTGCACACTCCAAAGAGTTATTAAGGAATACCTCCCACGCACCGCAATTGTCCTGTACGCTATTATTTTTCAAAAACTTCATAACATTATGTAATACCGATTCCGGAAATGTAAACGCAACAAAGATAAACGTAATGGATTTACATTATTATAATGGTAAAACCGTATACGCGTACAGGCCGTCGTTCTAGTAATAAAACGATCAATGTGCATTAGTTGACATAGCTCATTATAACTTTCGGTCAGAAGTAAGCACTTAATGAACCTTGTTAAACCGAGTCAAACTATACTTTAAGGTGAAATCGATAAAAATAAAAAATCTTTACGGTAAATAAAAAAAACAATCTGTATTTATACATACAGTTTAATTTAGATTTTAAAAATATTTATTTTGTATATACATATTTAGAAATCGAGTTACGCTATCGAACGATAGTTGCATTCGTCGCAATGGTGTGCGTTCGAGTCGTGTTTAGGATAATATAATATTATACTTCTATTTTGGCGTGAAAATAATCTGTTTTATTTATTTAAAGTAAACCTGTTTTATAATGAGATACCTAGAGACATAGCGTAGAGTTGTTCTGTATCTACAACTTACCAACACTGGAGTATTCGATTAACACATTAAAATAAGATTCGCATAATTGTAATAATTGTTATCTGATGAATAGGAACAATATTTTATTGTAATTATATACCTTCATTATTTAGTGATATTAATAATAATATTACCATAATAATATTAGGCTGTTATGATTATGTAAATTAAATTTAAAAAAAAGTTTTAGTTTTTATTGAATTATATAAATAACTTAACGGTTTGGGCTTTAAACTTCGGTTTTTTTATTAGTAATTTTTTAAGGGTGAAAATAATAAGAACAACCGATCTTCGTAAAATGAAAGTCTATTTAATATTACAAGAGAATTTTTATGTTCAACTTAGAAACACGTATTTTATATGTAGACGGTCAAAGTTTTAATAATATGTCGTAAGGAGGATATTTCAACATTCCTAACATTATTTTTTTTTATTTAACAGCCATCACATTCACTTAACACAAGTCGTAAAAATAATTTCAACTTCCAATAAATACGTTAAATATCAACACAGCTGTTAAAAATGCACTAGATTATAATGACAAAATGACACTTTATTTTACCAATCGATGGTCACCAAAGTTATTGTTGCGTTTTCAATTTTACTATACATAGTATTGTGTCACAGTATTTTAATTTTATGGTGTAAGCGGTGTGATTTAACTCCTATCGGCTATCAGTGTGTCATTCAATGTATTTTATTAATATTAGATTATAATTATTAATAGTCCGTGCTAGGTTTATGTATTTATCAAACGATATATTTCTTAAAAATCATTACAGTATTAACTTCAATGTAAAAAAAACTAACTATCTACCAACTTGCAAGGGCGGGCTGAAGGAACCTCGGCTCAGTGTGCATTGCCCATCTACCTTCCAGTCGAGCACGTCCATGTGTGCCTACAAAAACTAAAATAAAACAAATATCTATTAACCAAAATAAGTTGCGACCATTAGGTCATCCCCTCATCGAGCTACAGTTATGTCTTAAAAAAAAATTAGGATATTAGTGATCAAAATTAGTTTTTGGTGATTAAAAATTAAATTACATCCTGTTTCTATACACCTATGTATCTATAGACAAAAATAATGTGTGAATCATGGGATTAGTTTAACCGTTTAATATCGATGTGGATTTATTTTTTTTTAAATACAAAAATTGTTGCAATAATTTGCTAAACACTTAGAATACGATGTTAGAATTTTATATTATATTATATTAAAATTAATTTAATTAATGCAATAATAATAAAATTGGCAAAAACGAATTTGTTCTAGCAATAATAATAAATATTAGCGTTTCGGTCCAGTTTGAAACTATAGTATAATATATTCGGTTAAGTGTCAACTATTTGTCGCGTTGCCAATTATCACACCGTCAAAATAAAAAAAAATAAAAAATCCAAAATTCAAAATGTTAGTGAACGGACGGGTTTTATTTTTTTTTCTTCAAGACAGCAGTTGTTATCAACCGAGATTCGACCTATTTCCATAACGAGAACGCTCTGAAATAACAGGATCGACTGTTTTTCGTTTTTTTACCTGGTTATTTTGCAAACCAATCTTCCATATGAAAACCAATGGCGCGGTTTTCATTGCAATTCGTCGTGAACGTTCAATTCAACGAGGTGTTTTTTTTTCTCATTGCAGCCGATAACGTATTATTATAATATTTTATTTTCTATACTGTACACAATATTAGTACCGGCGAACGTAGATAAGACAGTCCTACTATCTGATCATTCTGCAACCTATTAAGCGATTAGATTAGGTACCACGGTATTGCGGTGCTTCATTATTCGTTCGGTAAAAAAACCGGTAAGATCGCGTGCGTCGGTGCGTTTTAATGTTATAATAATATTGTTTTTTTATTAAATATATAATTTAAAGATGTGTATTTTTTCTTGGTTTTAAAATAAATCCGCGTTACTTATATTGTTTATTCTTTTGTATTTATTTCCAGTTAAACGACACGGAACTCGGATCAGACAGCACAACACAGGTAATAACATATTACCATATCAGTTCTTGTTATTATATTATTATTGCAGAATACAGTACGTCCTAAAAGTCCAGTCACGCTAAAACGTAGTTCATATATTTTATTAGTAATTTTCATTAGCAGATGGTACATTTTTGTACAGTTAATCTCTTTAGAATTAATTTACAGTCAGAAAAATGTTTTTTGTAGTTCAATTTTAATGACTAACTTTCGGGGCCGTTGTATATTATTATAATATTGTGCGAAATAAATGTTGTTGATTATTTTCCAAGTATTAAACGTGTGATATACCTAATAATTTGTAAAAAATTGTAGTTGTTATTACAAGTTTGATGGAAGGTCGGATAAGACAAAAAAAAATGTATACTAAAATTTTTAACCAAATTTAAAACAATTGATATTTATGCATATATTTTTATATATGTCTGTATTTTACTGTGTATTAACTTACAATTAGTACATATTCAAATGTTTTTATTTTAAAGAGTGGTAAAAATGCATATTTTTTATCCACAGAGTCCAAGGTTTATTTAAATGTCACGGTGGCAATTCGAGATGTACATCAAGCGTTTTCTTCAACTTTTGTTTTTTTAAAATACACCATAAGTATTATACTTTATACTATAGATATTACACTACACTCTTAAATCGTTTTTTTGGGGGGTTTGGAGACGTTTTGGATATTTTTCTATTTGCGCCACTGATAACTAGCGGCGTATTTAAAGACATTTTTCAGACGCCGATTTTAAGTTCTAACTGCTCGATCAAATAAGGCCCGACATGTATTTTCTTGTAGTTTATCTTCTTACTCCTCCAAACGGGTATTTTGCTTTGAATACGGGGAATTAAAAATGTTTTTCGGGGGTTGTTCAGTGGTTATCAACCACCTGCCCCCCACACAAGTATGCTATTGGCGATGGTTACGCGTAACGACTAAACAGACATCATACTTGTAGTTACGCTGATATTATCATCATAGTATTGTCTCCGACTTTTCCAAATCTGGGTGCGAGTCATCCCGTGTCGATGTGTGCTTCTATGTATCTTCCTGGTTTTTTTTTTCTCTAAATTTTTTATCGGTCTCGTGTTGTATCTACCGTACCGTACATAGTAGACCATTGTCTGGTCAATATAATATTATCCTTAATATTGCCGTTGTTATCTATATCGGCGCGTTACCGCACGCCGCCGCCTTCCATCCACGAAAATATAACAACTTAAGAGCCCGGATAAGGTTAATTATTATTCACCGAAACAATGGACGAACGGCGGCACACTATCGGCCGTATCCACGGACACACAACATTCGTCCTTATCGCCAAACATGTTAATTGTCCGAACCTGTGCACCAGCATAGTTACCACTTATCTACCGTCGATTGTAGTAGCTGCTTGTCACCATGACGTAACCCCCCGTTACCGCCGTTATCTCGCGTTGTATTATTGTTTTTTACGAGTTTACCCGACTCCGGAGCGCGCTAGTTAAAAAAAAAAAAGTAAAAAATTCCTCGCTTAACCACGCGCGTACTTAACGATCGCCATCAACCCGACCCGGGTCGGTCGGATACTATACCGGTGCACACACTGTACAGATAATGTTATTGCACTAGTACATATTATTATCATATCATACAGGTATCGTGAAGCTCCGGCCGGCGTGGAATAATATCCAACTTAACGGTTATTAAGTCATATCAACAGCAATCGTTGTGGACGACCTTTGTTCGCGCAGTGCCATCACCGGTATACACGTTAATTCGGATTGCACTCTTCTGTTACCGATAACACCGTGACAAAGCTTCGCGAGACGGCCTTTGATCCAAACGGCCGATAACCGACTTATTTACATCTGATATTGATTTTTATTGCCCACTTCTCGGCATTCCGTTGCCGGCTAAACAACACGAAAATTGTTTTTTCTTCCAAAGTCACCGGCACCGTTTAATCATAACGCGCGGCGGATTTACTCGATACCGATCGTTGATCAATCAATCAATCTGTTATTTCAATTATTATTATCGTCGTAACTGCAATATTTTGTATTATAATCGTTTGAATGTTAATCGACAGGCGGACACGATCCCTTTGGGTCTCTACACAGTGTTATTGAACCAACACCACGTTAATATCCGTCAGTTAAAGTGCGTGTAACAACAACAACAACAGTATTGTTCTGATAATATTGTATCAACATCATCTCTTCGACGGGTTTGATCTGCAGGCAATGAAGCTATGTTTCAATGTTCATCTAATAGCCCGGCGGCCGCACACAACTCTCTCGATGCCCGTAAGTACAATCTTAAGTATAACACACGTCGTTTGAGCGGTTTTTATAACTGTGTCGGTTTTAAACGGCTTGTAAGCATAACTCTCCGCCCAGCTTTGTTAGTAGTTCATGCCGGATGACTTCATCTAAAATGATCATCCTAGGTGAACCGTGTAGTCCGGCCTTGGATGTTTTAACTTAACATATAATAATAAAAAAGGTGGTTTTTATGGTTTACAACCAAACTGGTTTTAATATTATACTTCAATGTACAAGCAAATAAAAATTAAGAATAATTAATTTATTAAAGGACCAAATTTCAACAATCTCATTTGACACGTAATTTAAAAAAAAAAACCCTTGCATTTTGTTAATTGATATAAGATATTGTAAACTCTAATGCCTAGTAACTCTTCGTGCAGAATCCTCCGCTTAACGATTTTCTTCCCATCAAGCTTTCGAGTTATAAAGTTAGGTGATTTGTCTTAATTTTTAAGCTTATTTTTGGTTGAATAATTTTAAACATTTATAATCATTATATAGATTTTGTTTTATAAAAATCACACAAATTGAACAGTAAACCAGTTTAATGTATATCACTGATAATGGTCATTACCGGAATCTGTTATAATAATACCTTTTGTTTAATGCTGGCAAGAAAGGGGAGATGAAGGGGTGAAAGGATGTCCGTCATAAATTGAGATACGACTTTGGACATAATGGAATCGATTGTCGGTCAATCACTGTGTTAAATACTTACTTACAAATTTAGCTGATTTCTGGAAGAACGTATCGTTGACACAATAATATAGTGTATGTTGTACTGTTCAGATAGAATAGGAATGTCATGTTGTCCTTTTCGAGGAGGATTTCCGTCAATTTTAAGCACACATCACACGCCGCCGGTGTGGTATATACGAGCATGAATAAGCACAGGAGTCATAGGCTGCAGGAAGGAAAATAAGAAATAATAAACGACTAGTTTTATCGCATTTCCCCTTTGGGATTCGAGCACGTAAACAATTTTTAATTAGTCTCGTATTTGAAATTCTTATCTCAGATTAGATTAGCCGTTGGTTTAGATACGCAGAAAATAATCTTATTAATATTTATCATTAGACCACGTACGCCGCCTGAAATTCAAACAATAATAATAGAATATAGTAATAATAATAATAACTATTATATTCTATTGTTTTGTCAGTTTTAAAAAATGCACGCCTCCCTTGTTCTACATAAACATTTACTGTTCTGCGGCGTAAATTGTCGACCGCCCAAAGTGTAACTTATCACAAGCGTTGCCTTTGCGTGGTCACGGAACAAGACACCACATAATATATTATTTACATACATATGTCTATCGTGAGTTATAACACATTGGAAGTTGATGTCTATAGTTTATTTTTTATTCAATGGCAATTATTTTTTTCAAATTCAAAAACAACGCATATTAGTCATGTATACTTGCCTAATAACTGATTACACAATATAATTGAGATAAGATTACTTGTATATAGGTTTATTGTGAACCGAACAGAGATTACAGACCTAATCTAAACGTATATGATGAGTGCTTCCACTAATAAACTATTTCAGTAACATAAAATTTAATAATTATTATTTATTTGATTTAATCATTTCAATGTATTTCAACAATTATTCCGTACCTGAGTAGTAGTGAAACTATTGTCCATTTCTAACTATTTCGAGTATTATAAAATTGAAGTTCTATGAGCGTACATTCAAATCATACATTTATACGACAAAAGTTTTATTGCCATTAGGATGAATATTGAATCATTTACTAATATTGTTATAAATTATAATACATTTTATTAATTACGTAAGAACGGCCACAACGAGCCTAGTCCCAAAACTAGCTCATGTAGTGATGTTGTTTTTGTTTTTAGTAAACACTATACAAATTAACGATATAACTGTAAATAATTGTATTAATAACGTATTATTTTAAAATATAATTATAACTTATTAGTAAATAGAACAAAGTACAAATTTATTAGGCTTTTTTATATAGCCGTGTTAAACATTTAAGAAAATTAACAGGGCCTCTTTGCATTTTAATTAAAAAATTGATCAAACGAGCAGAAACAGTTTAATGAAAAAACGCCTTGTTTAAAAATGATAATATGTTCTTATAATAGGTACATTATGGTCAAAATTCTTGTTCCTTTTTTAAAAATCGTTTTCTTCGTATTTATTGCAGTTTTCACGGTATTCGTCGAATAATCAGTGTAGCTAATTGATGGCGAGAGTGCAACCTTCATTTGAAATTCAGGCTTTTGTAGATTACAATAAATAGTACCATAACCGTTTTTAATACATTGAATGGCATAACACAATTTAATTTAATTAAGTTAACTAAGTTCTATAAATAGTTTTTAATTTATTTGTATTTTAGTTTTATTACTATTTGTATTGGAAGTGTGCAATTTCTGCTACATTCCACAATTAAAATTATAGCAAATATATAGGAAATATAGTTTTAGTGGCAATAAGCAGGTATACGCACTCAACTAAAATAAATTATTTTTTTGGAAGGTCACATTCAATAAGTATTTTTTTTTTATAAGACAAGACAATTGAAGACAATTAATGTTGTTAATGTGCTATAATAATTTTCTCTTTAAACTGGTGTAAAAGTGATAAAAAAAAAAAAAAATAGAATACATTTATTTTTTGCTCATTTAATAAGTAAAAAAGTATGTCAATTATAGTTACCAATATTGGCTTAAAATCAGAAAGAGTTGTTTTATTTTATTTTGCTAGTCAAAATGCGAGTGCGATAAAAGTTCCTAAATATTTTGGAACGAAGTTTCTTATTTTTTACGCTTAGTTATTCTCGGTGCTTAAGTAAATTATTGTCTTTTACATTAATTATTGTAGATTTGCATTCAAAATCGTTTTTCATAAAAGAAAAATTACCACTTTTGTCGCTTCTTATCATTTTTGAATGAAGCTATATTAGACTTCGCGCGTAGGCGTGTAATTATATGGCGTTATTTGCATAATAAAGATCAATCAGAGTAGTAGATCCAGTAGACAAGTGATAGTAGACCAAGGCCCCGGACACTGATAAAAATTAACACGGGGAAGATACTTATCACACACAAAAACGCGGCGGTCATCTTAACACAACTAGAATGTTAAATTTGTAAATTATTATTTTTAGTTGTCTATAGAGATAACATGTGATAATATAGTGAATAGAATTTACAAGATGGCCGTCGCTTTTTTGTATACATTGAAAGAGGCCCTTCTGCTTTCATCTATTCTGTGGTAGACTCGCCATAAGCGGTGGCCGCCCACTTACTACTTCAATCGATCAGATGAATCTTAACGTTAATACGAGTGAACTTTTTTTTTTACATTAATATTTTATTCTTTTATTTTCCGTCTTAGAAAACGTGTACCATCGACGTTACCATCACGACCGATTAGTGTACGTGCCTTCGGCCAAACCTAACATGTTCGGGCTAAGCCACCAGTATCCTGCACCACCCCCGCCAGCTCCACCGCCAACTACTGTCCCTTCGTCGGCGGTCGCACACTCCTGGCAAAATCCGTCAGTAGGTCATCACCAGAGCACCCATTCGTCCACGGCAGTGGCCACTGGGTCACCGGTCAACGGTAATCACCAACAAAACATCACCTCCAGCGGCGTGTCTTCGGCCAGCACACCGTTCTACCAGAGCGCAGCCATGATGTGGCCCAACCCGGCATTTCAAACTCATCATTATGGTAAATATTTTATTGTTATCTATATCTTATTGTTATCAATACATCACTAGTTGATCCCCTTATGAAAAGGGTGTAAATATTGTGTTATATACAATTTATATTATGCAAATTGCAAAGGTTAACGAGGCCTGTGTAGTTTTGTAAATTATAAGAGCTAAAAAATAGCGTCTCAGCTCCGAAACATCGAAGCTGCAACAATAATTGAAGTTTAAGGTTGACAGTAAATCTAAGGGTATAGAAAAATGCTTTTATACCATATGAGAAAAATATATCAGCCGTTGCACGATTTTTTTTTTTTTTTATTTATTAAAGAGTATTTACAATCTATGCTGCAAGGCATAATAAGCAAATAGTTACATTGTTATATATACAAAGAGAGGGAAAAAAAAATAAACAAATAGAAACGGTGATTTGATATGAGGAGGGAGGCTATCCAGTAATAGAACCCAACGTGATTTTTGTTCTAATTATTTTTAGTTAGATTAATTTGAATTATTGTATTAACAGATCTCGACACCAATGTCTTCGGAGTCGGCGAGGTGGATTTCCGGGGAGTGAATTAGAAGCAAGTTGAGATATTAAAGGGTTAGAATGAGTGTGTAATTTGGAATGAAATTTTTTGTAGTGTTTTATGGCTAAATGGTTTATTGGTTCTATTTTAAAGTCATTTTGAAGTGTGCAGTTTGATACATACCATGGGGCAGAAGAGATAATACGTAGAGTGATAGATTGGAAAGCTTGTAAGGTACGAAGTTGGGATGGTTTTGCACATCCCCAAATTTGGATTGCATATGCCCAAATAGGCCTTAATAGGGATTTGTATATAATAATTTTAGTGTGGAAAGGTAATTTTGATTTGAGGATTGGACGTAGTAAATGGAGTCTGCTGTTCAGAATTTTTCTTTTAGATTTAATGTGGGAGCCCCAAGTTAGTCGTTTGTCGAGTGTGACACCAAGATATTTGACTTCCGAGGATATTGGAATAAGTATTCCTTGGAATTGGGGAGGGGGTGGAACAGATTTTTTTAGTGTGAAGGGAACGTACACAGATTTATCTGGATTAATTTTAATTCTCCAATTAGATGACCAGGAATCAATTAGATTTAAGTGAGTTTGAAGGAAATTGGAAGTAACTTCTGGATCATTTCCTGGGGAGAGTATTGCAGTGTCATCTGCATAAGTAGCCATAATAGTATTTGGTGTTTTTGGAATGTCAGCCGTAAAAACATTAAATAGATCAGGGGAGAGGTCACTGCCCTGGGGCACTCCTGCTTTAATTTGGTGGTATGGTGAAAAGGAATTACCATATCTGACTCTATAACTTCTATTTTCTAAATAAGAACGAATTATTAAGTAATATGGGGCAGGTCGTTGCACGATTGAATACCGAAATTGAAAAATATCCAATGCGTTTTAGTTTATTACTCACGAGGTACACCGTACAATATACAATACCTATAATACATATTAATCAAATTATTGTGCAATAATATTAAAGCTAATTAGATAATTTATCTTAACCATTAAATCGATTTTGTATTTTATTTTAACTATATATTATATATTGTAGGTAGATATTTGATTAATACAATTAAGTCTAATGTAACGGACATTTATTTTTAGTATTATTTTATGCTAACTGTAGTTAATCGTATCCAAGTCTGATCATTAAAATAATTAATCAATATTTGAATTTGTTTAAAAAGTTAATGTTCATTTAATAATTAATTGAGAATTGTATTATTTAATAAAATCAGTGAACACTAAAGAATAACGGAATGTTTCAAATAATTGTAATTGTTTTTTACAGTAAAGTACGAACAACAAAAATAAATTAAGCTTTGGTTAAACTAACGTATAATAACTAGTATGTTGTATTATATAATAATACGCATATAATAATGGTTTGATTAACAATTAAACTAAATTTACCTCAATTAATAATTATATTAAAAAAATAAAAAATGTTGTGTTTTACAACTTGTGAAACGGTTTTTATACAATTTTGATGACTGGAATTTCTTAATTCTTCTTCAGTCATTATATTTTATTTTTACTTAAAGTATCCCCATCGTGATGCCAATAGATATATTGAGTTCGCGACAATGTTATTTCGTATACATTTTACGTATTCTTATAATTGATAGCGTTTTTAAGACACTTTTGCTTGTGCATGGTTTCTATGATAATAATATTTGTACAGCGCAGATGTAATCCGGAGGGGAAGCAGGGTTAAATCGCATAGATATAGGTTATCCCGGGACTAGGATCGGAATAATAATTTAACACAAATTAAAACACATCGTTTTATGGGTAGTTATAAACTAGCTGATTAATATTTAGATAGATAACAGTCGACTGGTGTGAGTACAACATTGCTTTTGATATCATCATGATTTAATTTTTACTAAACGATCGACGAATTATTACTATCCGTGTTAAAGCTCAGAAAATGAAATAATAAAAATACGATAACAAAGTATTTTTATATTATTATATAAAATTATTAATAATTATTTTAATAATTAACTGAAATATAATCGATCGTTTTATGACAAACGTGCATTATTATCTTCGGATATGTGCGTTAATGTTAATCATCTTTGCGTGACATCATTTTTAGTATTTCTATTTGAATTGAACAGAGGTGCTTTATTATTCTAGTCGATATGATATGTTGATATTATACTCTAAAATATTTTTCCTTGGTGTATCATTATCAAGTAAGGTCATTGTAGGCCAACAACCATAGTATACTGTAGCCGACTTGGTGACTTTAATAAAATAACTGAAACGTTATAACTTCAAGTAAGTAAATATATAATAATATTACCTATACAATATATTTTTACTAAGGGATCGGTTCGGTTCCTCGTTAATAATTAAATAGTATCGAAAACGTTATTGTTATTTGCTTTGACAATTCTGTTTAAATGTAATGACGATTTTTCAAAAATATGTGTTATCTTTTCATTCTTTTTTGTTCAATTGTTGTATATATAATGATTATAATCTAAAATATGGCTAATCTTAATACTCAGGCGAACCTCCCTTTCAGTTCATGGCAAATTTTATCAAAATAATATTTAAAAAATAAAACTTTAATGTATTTTTTTTGTTATACAGTAACTCCTGTTCGTGGGTAATTATTTGTTGAATTAATTTATTATAGCATATGTTTCTAATGTTTTTCACGATTTGTCTTTAGCTATATTGTCTGTCTTGCTTTGCTCGTGGTGACCATATTTTTGTTGAATTTAAAAAGATATATGTAACCAAATAAGTTATGTAATTAAATTAGAAAAAAGTGAATTTTTCACAGTTATTAAAAATGAAACTCCTAACGAGATACCGACAACATCGAGTGTACAAATTTGTTTTTTTAAGTTTCTTTAATTTCAAAACACACATCGGTCGGTTATAGGTGTTTGCTCGCGGTCACCTGTGGTAGGTAATAGGTATACTGTATTTGCGTATGACGTGTTGTGTGTAATTATTCCACCCAAAACACTCGCATACATATTCGTAATTGATAATCGTAAATTTCACCGTGAACGTTTAAGTGAATTTGTCGGGAGTTTATTCCGTTTTTTACTATACCTCGATACCTAATAAAAAACACAATGGTTTATGAACGCTCACACCGCACCGTGTTAGCGCACAACCGAAGTCGTACTCACGAGTCGCTCATAAAAATATTTATTACAATAGCGATTAATAGCTATTGAAAAGTTATAAATCAGTACAACCTTTACCATAATATAGAACCGTGCAGAACACACACACACACATCACACGGCCGTTTTTCGCAGGGGTTTTGGTCGATTTTTAAACTCTATTTTTCATTTCCAAAACTGACCATAAGAAATTAATGTCATTGTTATTTTAATAATCACTAATTTAATTTACACGTGCAAGTCGAAACAACGGGCCGGGTTCGTCAGGTGTTTTCACTTAAGATTTCTGTACTTAGTAGAAGTGTACCGATTTTCAACATGTCGGATAATAAGAATAATGAACAAAAACAATAACAGTTATCATTGATTGGTTCGATATCAGTACAAAGCCCACAAAGATAATGACGCAATCGGTGAACTCTCGAAATAAGTCCCGTGGATTATAATTATTGTTTTAATTTTTATAGCGTTTTAATTTAATAATATAATATATTTACTCATAAGAATTATAATATTACATTTTACAATGAAAATCGTTATGTTTTCAGCTCGAAATGATAATAACCGTCGACGGGCGTTTGTTTATCGTTGTTCTTATCTACGTTTTTATCAAACAACTTCCATTCTTCACCCTTCAGATAACATCCGGTTTTTTTTTGTATAGACGGAAAAAATTTATATAGTGTTTCTTCACTTGCTTTGTCACCGTTGTGCTGTATTATCCTACGATCTGTTTGTCGCATAATAATTATTCAACCTTACTTAATGTGTGTGATCCTCGTAGAAGATCAATAATTATTATCGTTAACGTTACGCCAATAATTTATTGTGGATAACATTCAACTGTTCTATATAGCACCTTTATAAGGTAAGATAATTATGTGTCCTATGCATTAGGATCATTTCAAAATCAACGCTTCAATACTATTTCAAAATCAGTTAAAATTTAAAGAGTTTAAATTCACTTCATTAATAGCTATTAAATTGTGTTTGAACAAAAAGCATTTAGTGTAGTAAATACACAACACTAAATTGAAATATCAATGATATGGTTAATTTGAATATGTTTTATGTATGATGCGCTTTAACTATAATATCATCAGATATTAAATATACTAAAATAAGCTTACTATTAGAATAGACTTTATAGCCTTTAAGGAATGTCTTACGACTTACTTATCAGCATGGCAGACTGCACACTAGAAAATAGTAACAACTAATTTGAGGTACAGCAATTAATTATTTCAGAATCTCATTAAAATATTGCTCAAAGGTCTTAACATTTTGCGTTGAACATTGTTAATTAGCACATAGTATTGTTATTTTTTGCCAACCTACATTTTGTACAAAATAAAACTGGTCTGGTTGTTATCAGAGCTACAACCGCAGTGAATACATAAAAACGTTTTGTTAATTGCTGTTATTATTGAAACGACAATATAGGTTTGCTAAGAAATGATAAAAGGGTTAAAAGACAATGTAAACAACATTTTGTGAACTATTTTCGTTAGATTTTATAGTCTCTATGAGGTCCGTATTATCCGTGTTTTGTTTTCAAATCTCATCCCCATTCCATCTACTATTAGACATACTATTTTCCTTTCTTGAAGAATTGCCTACAAAAAAAAAACAAAAAACCGCAAGTAAGTTGAGATTAGGTAGGTGTAAAAACATCTTTTGTGCATTATCCTCAGCCGCATATGTAAGACATTTGAGACCTTGAACCGATCTCTCGAATGCCACTACAACGGGTCGTCTCGATCTTGCCCCATCGACTTTGCGCCGTGTTACATTCCATAGTTTTCGCACATGGCACAGAATTTACACTGATGTATTCTCGTCAAAATAGGTAATATAATGACTAAAAAAAATATAGGTTAACCATAATAACTTGTCCGAAGTCCTGTAGTTCCAAACCTGCATAGTTAATGATCATAGAAAATAGTAAACAAGTTAAAAATCACCTCCAAACATGTTTAAATTTGATTATTTACAGGGTAAAAGTATGATAGGACAACGGATCGATGGACGACAACAATATGGTATATTATTATTACCACCGATATTGCCGATCATGTTTTAATTTGTCATTGTAATTATTACAAACTATTAAAAAAATAGGTATATTAAAATTTTGAAAACATTGATTATAAATTACAAATATTATTAGTATTCAAATTTAAACGTGTTTAAAACAAACTGGTGTTTTATGTAGTTGGGTTTTCCTGTTCGACTGCACATTTTTTTTTAATGGTCAAAGACAAACGGGTGTGGTAGATTTATGTTTTAAAATTGTTTAATAATTTAAATTTACTATTTTTTTTTTTTGTGCAAAACAACGTTTGTTCTTCGATTATAAGCGGTGTATGACTTCCAAGTTCTAACGGGAACCCAAAAAAATATTCTCGAGCATTTTATTTACAATGTCGTTGTTGTCTGTATACTCGGTGGGAGTCGTTTACATTACGATAATAATCTCGGTGTTACCAAAAGATTACTGAACGAAATTTGATATTATTACAAATAATATTATGTTGAAACAATACCCGTGTCGAGACATACGCCCTTGTGGATTTCTTCATTCTGATCTTAGGCGGAGTGTTCGTGGGTTGTTTGTGTATCGAAATTCAAGTGTCCACGAGTCGCCGGTGGATCATTTCGACGATAACCGATCGACTACCGTGCGGATGGTGGCGACGGCGTTTGTGTTGACGAACCAACCGGTTTTTTTTCCTCACGGCACATCGTAGGTATAGATGTAGGTACATACCTATATAGTGGTTCGAATTCCCCACCCCAACCCCCGGTCCAACGGGTACATGACAAATTACTCAAACCGAGGGACCAAACACGATCAATTAGCCCCGAGTCCATTAACTGGTCGCCCCGTATGCCGGAATATCATTTATCTTTGGCGCCTCGAGTTTTATATAAAAAATATGTATCTCTCTCCTCTACTCGGTTTTTGTTTTTTTTTTTCATTATGTCAACATTGGCCGTGTCTGGTTTGCTTTTAATTAGCTTTTTAAACCAATATATAATCGAATGCAACGACCGTAGTTCGTTCCGAAATAATAAAAATAAAAACTTGTTTCAGATACAGGCATGGACTTGCAATTCGGAGACGGCCGAGAATGCGTCAACTGCGGTGCCATATCAACGCCTTTGTGGCGCCGCGACGGTACCGGACACTATTTGTGTAACGCTTGTGGGCTATACCACAAGATGAACGGCATGAACAGGCCTTTAGTAAAGCCCGCCAAGCGTCTGGTAGCGTTCGAGACTGTGAGTACACGCTGTGATAAGTCCACATTAAATGTCTACCTCGACTCGACTATGTGTTGCCGGATTTGTTAACATAATCATGCTCTTGATAAATTGCCGTTGGGCCTTTTAGAAACACTATTAATTGCTATTCGATTTAATTCCTACGGCCAAGACCTAAATCAAACTTCCAGAAATTCTCTCGTTTCTCTCTTCTGATCATTTGTTTTTATTTCTAGACTTTAATACAATGGCAGTATTATAATATCAACAATGTCATCTTTACCCTTAGGACACGTGCGGCGCGGCACGAACTTAGGGTCCCTGGCCTGATGGGGGTCCCGAATAATAAAATTAACATTGTAGTTTTTTTTTGTTTTTTTTAAAGGCCTAAGACGGCCCAGAATATTTATAATTTTTTTTAAAGTTCCTCCCTCCCCCCTCGAGATTTTAAAACAGATTTGCGATGATAACAGCCTGTATGATATATAGGCCTGATTACGTTTGATACAAGGTCGTGAACGGAAAAGGTTCAGATTATGAACAACTACGACGGTCTCGTGTGCGTTTGTCAAATAATAATATTTGTTCATATTGTTAAGACATATTACTAAGATCCTTGGACATTAGTGTCGGATTATCGGAAAGCTGTTTGTTATTTTGTTACATAAAAATGTCACGTTCGTTTATTGGGTCATAGAATTGGGGATCGTTTCGAGTGTCTCTACTTAGATTATACAAAAATAAATGTCACGACAGACACGGGTGATGGCCACTGAAACAAATAATACGTTCTATTCTGATCGAGATCGATGTAGATTTAAGTTAAAAACAACAAATACAAATATCATGACTCTATACACGAATAATGTAATTTTTAGGCATCCAGTAGACGTCTGGGCTTGTCGTGCACCAACTGTGGAACCCGAATGACTACGCTTTGGAGGAGAAACAACGACGGCGAGCCAGTTTGCAACGCCTGTGGTCTGTACTACAAGTTACACGGCGTAAACAGACCGCTTACAATGAGAAAAGACGGTATACAAACCCGGAAACGGAAACCAAAAAAGCAGTCGTCTTCTTCCTCTTCGTCCACGGCTAACTCCTCCAACGTGGAAAGACCTATGGACGCCATTGAGTTATTGAGTAATAATACTATAATATTGAATAATCACTGTTCTCATCACTTAAATTATGGCAGTAACCGCCAGAGTTATAATATCTACATAATGTAAATTCAATTCCTCTCACTAATCGCATAGCTTCTATACGAATCATTTATTTTAATGATTATACAACATATTCTAATATAATATGGCTAGAAATTAATTAAAAATATATATATATATATATGTAAAACGAAGTATAGACGCGTAGAGAAGTAAACTGTAATGATATTTTAATTTGCGCGCACTACTTACCCAACTTTCCTCTTCAGTCCTCATCTTAAATGCTAATAACTCAAAAAAGATTTGTTCAAAACTGATTATCGACAATTCATTGGTTTCTTTATGTTAGTTCGTTTTTAGTAAGGAAATCAAACAATTTTGTTGTGTTTACATTTTAACCTCTGAAACAATATTTTTTACTGGAATATTGAAAACTATATTTCTTAGGAGGTGACGCTACGCCACCCATTTATTGAAGTATAGGCAATTATTTTAGTTTAACTATAGCGTATACTTGTTAACACAATGATGAGGATACTTTATTGTTATTTTTTATTTTCGTCAGACTATCACACACGTGTAAAGTTTTTCTCTGTGTACTGGAAATATTTTGTAATTCTACCACGAATACAACCAGAAAAACATTTTAAAGTAGTATAATAGAGGTTTGATTTGAAGTATGTTTAACCAATACGTTACTCACTTTGTTGTGTGTATAAACACTGTAGTATATTTTTCTGACCTAGTAATGTTACTTTTGAAAAGGTTTTAAGGGAAATTGAGTGAATTTTCCTACTTCTTCCTTGTTATTTTCTACTGATATATGGGTTGTAATGCAGTATTTATATATCAATTATTTTGGTTTTTTCTTTTCAGTCAACAAGCATCCAATGCCTATTTCCGAAGTCAAATCTGAACACTACGATTCCGCGACGGCGGCGGCTGCTGCAGCAGCAGCGGCAGTTGCTGCAGAACATTTTATATTCACCGGATCGTCCGGAGGTCACCATCATCCCCAATTGGGTGGTTTCAGTTTTCCGCCCCCACAGGCTACCGTTAGTGCGCACAATTACCAACATCTGCTAAACGGCCACGTCAACAACAAGCTGATGGCGTCCTAAACATATCCAAGCTAATTGAGCCAATGATATATGTATAGGCAAACTGATATTTTTTATTGCTAATTTAATTTGATCTATATTATATTTAAATGTTATTTGTATGCCTATTATTTATAAATATTATTTTATACATTTTGTATATAGTCTATGATATATTATCTGAAATGACGAAACGCAAAAAACTAAATTTATAAATAATCATTAAGTAAAAAGCGTATTCAAGGATAAGACACGGATTTTTTCGGACTTGTTTTGTGCTTATTCTTTCTCCTATTAGTTTTGGTTAATAACTTAACCCAAAATGTTTTCAAACTACATAATTTTCCAATGACAATTATTATATAATGTTGAACTGGTATTATCTATACACATCATCTTCACTTGTGAACACATTTTAAGCAAGTTCTATACTTATAATAGTTATTGTAGTAAAGTCTTGCAATTTTTGGGCAGTTTTTTTATGATATCTCATTTGACTTTTCGTACAACATAGCACTGTCCTAGTTAAATGCTAATTAAAATTGTGGGACAAGATTTTTTATTTACACACAAAAGTGCAGTCTACTGTCTAGTCATAAAGTAGAAATATTTATACCGATTTGATTTGATTTTCCATTTGTATAATATTTTATTTCGTTATTTAACGGTACTTGTGCATATTATTATAATATTATAAAAATATGAATAATTTTATATATTTATTAGAACTAAATTACAAATAGTTTATTTTTGTACACCCTCCATCCTCTTACTGGCTCTCTCATTAAAAATTGTGTAATAATAATTTAATAAATGTATAGTGATAAACGCATTGTAAATTGGCCAACATTCTGCAACATTTATAAAACCTATATGATATTATATTGTAAACATTTTTTTTTTTTTTAATTGAAAAATATAATAATAAAAACATAAACATACGATGTTAACGGTGTATTTGTTTTCGAAATAACTTTGTTTATAATCAATATTTTTTACTTATGATGCAAATGATTTATGTATTTGTAAATGACAGAAAAACAAGATTACGGTCGAGGGATTTTGAGGTATAAGGGGACTGAAGAAGTAATGGGGGAATGAGATAAATAAAGACACGGAGATGTGTGTAGTAAATAAAAAAATTATGACTGATTTTTGTGAAGAGATAGAAGATTTGGCTGGATGACTTTATTTGTAAGAGATAAGGTGAAGAATAAGTATAAGATAGCCAGGAATATTCGTAAAAGTTTGCAAACAAGAAAATTATATTATTTAAAAAAATAAACAATATACTTCAACTTTGCCCTATCAAATAGATTTTTTTCAATAACTTGAAATTTGTTACATTAAAAATTGCAGAGGGATAAAGTTTACTATTTATGGGCTCAATATTGTAACGCCGTTTAAAATAATAATACATTTTTTTTAAAACACTATTTGTTCTAGGAAGTCACTTTCAATCATCTTGTATTTTATTGTATGCATACCGTTTTTTTTCAACTCATTGGCCGTATCGTTACAGTATTAATAAAAATCGTTTTTTTCAAATCGGATAAATTTTAGCTAAAGAGAGATTGTTTGCATCTAATATATTTAAACATAATTCCGTCGAGTAATTTTATTCTGGTACATACTATATATAGTAACGTTTGACTTGTACTATTTATAATTGGCTTTTTACTACACTGATATTGCGGCATTTCCCGTTGTGACGATTTTGCTGGCATGTTGATAATAAGATAGCTTAGATAAGGTACCTTGTGCAGGTATAAAACACCGGTCAGTACATTTTTAGTTTACCATTCGTATTTAATAACTCAAATATAATTTATCATATCATAGGATTACCTATTTGTTTAAATTGTTTTATTTTAATATATTATTTTTTACATAATGAGTAATTATCCGATGACGGCCAGTAAAACACCATGCCATAAGGGTACTATGTACCTCGAGTTCAGTAATTTGTTAAAAGAAATAAGCCATTACATGCCGGAATTTAAAGCATCCATTAAAGATTTACAAGAACCTTCTCAAGCTTTTGTTACACAATTCTACACCGACGTGTTTAACGAATTCTTTTGTGACGTTATGAATTTGACCGAGGTATTTACAATTTCATTGTTTTATAGGCTTTACAGTACACTATACCTAATTACATAACTGAGTAAAGTGCATCATATTTTGATCTCTATGTTTATTTTAGTGTAACTATTACAAATATTGCGTAATTACTATTTATTACACTTAATTTAACTTATTTTTGGAGAAAAAAAAAATTATAAACTATTTGGATATTTTAGGTCGCCTTTCTAGTTGTAACCAGCTTACAAAACAAAAATCAGAATTTACTTATTTTCTTATTTAAAAAAAAAAAATTCTAAAACTAGCTACGAATTTAGCAAAGACAATAGAATGCAAACATTATTTGAAATACAGTTAATAAATGATTTTTACAAAACTCGCTTAAAGGGGTACAAAATGTTTTTTTTTTAGGCTATTTGAAAAGAAAACGACATACAAGAAAGAAATCTGAGGTCACTGGTCAGGTTAAGATTCAGCAAAACAAAATAATTTCTTGTGTTGTACTGTGTTATTGATTTCAATTGTATATTTTTAAATTTCTACTTTTAAATATATTTTTTTGTTGTCTCTTGAAGGCGTCCAAAATTAATTTTATCATATTATTTGTTTTTTTTTAGCTTTATATGTTTAGCAAATGATAGAGAGAGGGACTCCATTCAATTCAGCCTTTAATTTTTTGTAAAAACAAAATACATTTTTAGTTTTCAAAAAAAATAGTATCTATACTTTATAAGAGTATAAAATAATTAATTGTGTTGTTCGAATGTGTTTTTAATATTTTCTTAGGAAAGATAAGTGTACTAAATACTAATTATGTCAACCAAAAATCAAACCTATTATTTTCTTTAAAATCTCATAGTTGGCAAGATACGCAGAGTTTCATTACGTTGCTAACACCAATACTGGGTTAAAAGTGAACGGTAGTACAAAGTATTTCATTATTATATTGTAACAATCATTAACTTTGTTTAATTATCTAATTAAAACAAATAACACCGTAATAAACAAATTGTTTTGTATGAAATACAGTTAAAAGTTATTACGGTTGAAAACTTTTTTCAAAGTACTATTTATTAGTTCTTACATAGCTTAATTAATTATTGTTAATTCGTTACATTTAGATTCCATTCGACTCTAATCTTACATACCGCGAAATGTACACCGAAACTGTGCCAATTGTGAACACTTGTGCAGCTCTGAGATTAATGTTTTCAAAACTGGGCATAGATGATTTTGGAGTAAACGATATTTGTGATCCTAGTAAGTTTAAATGAGTACAAATGAAAACTGATTTTCGTTTATTCATTGTATTATACCGCAATATCATAAGTCTAATCAATAAATAGCAATTATTTTGCACTTGCACTAAATATTGTTTGTTTTAATGAAGCGTCAATTATGTAATATAAAATAACAACAATGAAAAAAGTTCTTATCTAGCATAATAATAAATAACAAAAAAGTGTTTTTTTTTAATTCGTAGGTAGACTTTAAATGTTTTGACTGGGTCGAAAATCGAAATCAGTCTAGCTCCTCAACTATAAAAAAAACTTCACGAATTCACGAATTTCATCTCACGACTATAAATGCTTATGTTTCATTTAGTTAAAAAGTTATTCAAATAAAATATTGTGTTCTTCTTTTCAGTTTCGAAAACATAAAATACCAATACACATAGAAATATTTAGTTATAGGAAAAATGTCTTTAGTTTTTAAGTTTTTGGCCTTCTCTTAAGCAATAGTATAATAAGATGTTATATTTTATAGATCCAAAAAGAACTTATCGACTAATACAAACTATGATAAGTTTTATAAAATACAGCGATGAAAAAATTAATCAAATTTCTGATAATATGAAAGCAATTAGAACAATGAAAATAAAGAAAAGCCATTTAAAAGATCAAAAAGAATATCTGATCAAGTCTATCAATCAGAAAAAGTTATTATTTCAACAGCTTGATGGAGAAATGGTGACAGTAAGCTGAATTTAATAACCTGTTTTTTTATGTAATAGGTACTTTTCTCTCTACTTTTGAAAATATTTGCCTTCATAAAATAATAGGTCCTCATCTGTCTACTTTAGAAAATATATGCTTCCATAAAAAATCTCATTTAATAAATGTAAATATTTCAGATTAAAGGGGAATTGCAAACTGGGAAATCAGAACTGGAACAGTTGCTCCAGCATAAAGCACGGACTTTGAAGGAAATGGATGCAGTTAAGCAAAAACAAGAGACGACAGAAAAACAAGTTAAAATATTAGCCGATCAAAAGCATTGTGTAAGTAATTTTTTTATTAAAATTTATTATTTTTTTAATAAACATCAAAACTAATTGCCAACGGCGCAAAATGTTTGGAAGTTTATAATCCGCATAAAAGGTGCTACCAGTTAAAAAAAATGAAATATGCTGTCTGGTAATAATTATTATAGATTTATACAATAAAATATATTATATAATTATTATTTTGACATAGATATGTCTTATAACTGGGGGTTATTCTGAAAATTTGTCCGTCACGTTCTTGTTACAGTGCTGACGTCGTTATCATTACGTCTAACGTCATTAAGTATAAATATATATATATAAGATTAGAGATAATAGATATGGATTATGGAGGGTCATTCTGAAAATAAAGTCAAAAGTATCCACACTTCATGCACAGAATAGATTAAATTAGATTTAGTCTATTCTGATTTCTGTGCTCCATGTAGATACATCAAGTGTAGGATATATAAGGATATAACTATATATACAAGGATAGTCAAATTAATTTGTTAGGTAGGCACTTAGTTACTGGTGAACCACGGAAATTTATTTTTGAGAAATGTTAATACTGATAAATATTGCCAGAAAATCGAATAAGGCCAGATATTATAAAACTACTAAAAAACGTTTGACCAGAACATATAATCAAGATTATACTATCATCATATATCGCAAGGAAATAATAGATCGGAAATAATCATATGTCAGAACATATCCATGTATTGATGTATCTGCATTAAGTGTGTATACTCTTTACTTTTTTCACTTATACTGTGTCAGCGGCCTAATTTGTATGGAAAAAAAATATATAAATCTTAGATGCGATCTAATTATCATTTATAATTAAATGGTCTGTACATACAGCTGGTATCGACAAATATATTAATATCAATATTTGTGTTATGTTTTTACTTTTCAGTTAACAAAGGAAATTCGCAAATACCGAGAAAATATTGTCGAACAGCCAGATTTATTAAAAGCCGACCTTGAACAATTAAAGCGTACAAAGATGGAAATTGAAGAGAAGAAGAAGTGTGTCTTAGCTCAAGTCAGCTCGATAAAACAAACATTAATACTTATGAAAACCGAATTAGCCGCTCAACAGAATCGGCATCGCTTGTTAACCGACCACACCGAACAAATTCAAATTATTGCGTATATTGTTTTTTTTAATATTTAGAGGAATTTAGAAATATTACCTAAGCAAATTAAATTATAGTTTCGAATTTCGATTTAAATTCAGCTTTATTTTTAAATTATAGTTACCACTCATTTAATTGAAATGTCAACTAGCATTTATTAAAGCGCTTTGTATAGGCAATTATTTGCTTAACTTACCATTTTTAGCTAAAATGTGTGAACTCGTTTAATAACACAGGAAAATGGTGCCTGTGTATCTGTTAACGATATTCAGAGTACCTACGGTTAAAATTGCCGTAAGTTGTGTTTAACAAAAATTACGCAGGTTTACCTATTGTTGCAGATTGAACTTTTTAACTTAAAAATGTGGATACCATAATAGATTAATTATTTTTATTTAGAAATATGGAAAATGAAGTAGACAGTATGATGCAAAACATTGATGAATATCTAACGTCGAATGAAAAGCTAAGAGAAAGAATTGAGAAAGCAGAACGGGATCACATCGCAGACTGTCAAAAACTGTCAATTCAAAATGATAGAATTGAAAACGAATATAAGAAAGTCATGGATAAATTCGATATTTTACAAAAGTGAGGAAAAACAAAGTAGATAGTTAGCTTTTTAAACTAACTCTTTAAAAATGGTGTACAATAATGTATTGATGTATTTTCATGCTTTAAGTGAACGAGATGAAAAGTTAATGAAAAGTAAACAAATTGAAGATGTAAAAATGTTGATAAATAAAGAATTGTCAAATTTGAAGTCCCTGGAACAACAGTTGAAAGATAATGTCGCTGAAATTGTTGAGGATTACTTGAAAGTTAAGAATAGCCTTACTCAACGTGTAAGCTTTTTTAATATTTAAAAAAAAAAAAATGTTAAGAGTTATGTCGTAATAATTTTGTTTTATGATTTTTTTAGCAAACGCTTTACCAAGAAAGTGTTTTAAAAAAAATCGAAGAACTAAAGATTTCGGATGAGTGATTGTTTAACACAAAACATATAATGTATGAACAGAAATGTCATTACAATTTCACTTTTTATATCATGTAACTTATAAACTTATTAGGTTGAAGATTATTTATAATCAATGAATTAATTTTGCACAAATTGCACTCGTTGTAGAGTCATTTAATATTGTATGTAGGTACTTTAGTTAATTCTTTAATTTTAATTTTATACTCGTATTTCTATATTTTCTATTAGAGTAAATTATACTATTTATCTTAATAAAATTGATATAATAAAAAAAAAAAACTTTATGGAGTCAAGTGAGGATAGCGAGGACGGAATAAATTATGTCACGATAGGTTACAGATCTACAGGAATAGTTTTAAACTAACTGAATGTGATCAATCACATTTCAAATATGCACTTGCAACATGCGAATAATGGTAGAATGGTAAAAATACAAAAATCAATAAAATCATTGTAAAAAATATAATGTACACGTACTGTTGTATAATGACAATATACACATGTATTTTGTTTAATATGATGAGATCAAATGTTTGTTAATACCCACGCGATAGTTTTAAAAAGCACATATAGCTTATATTGTTGTTTTTGTCCCAAACGCAGTTGACCACCGCCCATACCATTAAATATTAATCAATAAAGCGTGTCCTCTTATACAAATTACAACATTAAAATTTACCATGAGATAAGATTATATATGAGCTATGCTTACTACAATAATATTTTATTAAGAGGCAAGTGGTACACACTTGCAATTTATCCACGAAAAATGGTTTTGCGGGGGAGAAGTATGCGAGAGCTTATAGGCTTACCGTCTATAAACAGTATAAGGCAATTAATGAATGTAACATTTTTAAGATATTTTTAATATACTTTGGACGTTAATTTAGTCAACTAGAGCTGTGCGGAAATTATTCCCTTGATGGATAATGAATACAATTTATGAAAAAACTGTTAATCCTTGAATAAGAATAAACAGTTATAACAATATAATAGTTATTATTTTTTAATTAAATTTGTTAATTAGAAATTAATTTGTAATGGGTTATATCGTTTAGTTTAAACATGAATTATAAAATATATAATCATATAAGATAAGACCTTAGTGGCGTATATAGGGGAGGGTTTTGGGGGTTGGTACGGCGCATGTTCAAATTCCGTATTCTTATAATAATTCTTATTTTATAACCCCCCAAAATTATATCCTATATACGCCGCTGTAAGCACTTAAATAACTAAAACATTTATGATATATTGTATATTAATTATATAAGCAAAATATTTTAAGTTATAACATTTATAAAATTTATTATGAATATTTTAACCATCATCTTTATTCTTTTTCTTATAATAGTTCTTTTGACTTTTTTTATGTAATGTTATGTGTGTAATCTAAATATTGAACCGTAAATTAATTATTATGCTTAAAATAGAAGTAAACAACACAATATTTTAACTCATCTGCTAGAAATGTAATAACTGATAACACATCACACAAACTAATAAATAATATAAGAAACAATTTATTTTAAAATACATAAATATTGCGGTGTAACAAGAACAATTAGTTAATTCTATTTTATAACTAATAAATAGTTTAGATTTATATATATAAATAATAATTTTGTTTTATTTTAATTATAATGTTTAGTGTTTACATTTGTGAAAATGTGTTTGTAGTTGCTTTGTTATCATTGTAATGGTTCTTTTGATACATCCCAAACACCATAAGATAATAGTTAGCATTAGAGACACTTTACTGGCATTGCACGATAGGTATGTGTAACGAGTAACGTTTTATTGATTATTGGTTCTATATTTATTTGGAAAAATTGGATAATAGTAGAGAAGAAAAGTCGAATTGTTTTTATCCTCGACCACCTCCACCTCTAGCAGTGTCACACGGCAAAAAAAAATTGTATCATCATACGTGAAAGCAATTAGTCTCTTTAGAAAATAATACATAAACAAATAAGTTAATGTTTAATGTTTTTATGGTAAATGACTCCTAATTCATAGGGAATTAATATTCCAAGTAATAAGGTGACACTTTTGAATTAAACACACATAAACTAGTTGATAATAATTATAATTAAAACAAATAAGTTAGATAAAACACAATAATCATCTTTAGTAAAAGCAAATAAAATTATTTCCTCACAGTATTAAATGAGAGAATCCTTCTGGATATTCATTTGCCCTAAATAATAAAAAACAGTCAATATCGTTTTCAGTTTTGCTTATGTTACAATAAAATAATTTGGGTCACGTGTACATATTGCTGAATTGTTATTATTTAATTATTGTTATACAGGTCAACATAAAATAAATATCATACAATTTTAATGCTTCATTTATTTTCTTATGGCTTTATTCTACTAAATACTACAATTTTCTATTATAAATAAATAGGCGTGAATCAAAACCAAAGTGTCTTGGAATTGTTGTAAAATCACCAAATTTTCATAGCAACAAGAAGAAAACGTTATCTGTAGTTAAGCGTTTTGAAACTTTTGTTTACTCAAATCCACTAGTTTTTAATAACTTATTGAAAAATACTAAATTCAAACATTCACAAAAAAAAACACCAATCAAAGAATCAGGCCACTATTGAGTACAGATAATATTCTCCTCAATTTTTCTATGGACATTTAGAAATTCTAGTAATATCACAGCCTTCACAGTACTGATTCGCCCAAACCCTGTTATACACTACAAATTACGGTGGTGGGTAGCGTCCTCTTAAGTATTGAAAATCGCATTTTGGCAGGAAATTGTTTTACAGTACTTGGAAATTATTTTTATAAAAAAAACATTTGTTTAATTACCATTTGAATTCCTGCCATAATATGATGTTGAAATAGTCTTACAGTATTCAAAAGTTTTGTAATAGTTATTATAAAATATATCTTATGATTTTATAATACACATACCTACATTTGCTGCGTGGGTACTAAACATACAAGTGAAACACTAATGGGTTACTGTTACCCCCTTGTCTGTTCAATACTATGTACCTATTTGTTTGTAATTTTTTAAATCGGACAGGGGTAGAAAAAGAGTGCACGCGTACTGCGCGTGGCCGGTATTGTTGAAGTGAATAATAAATGTATAAAAAAAAAGACTCGAAGAACAATAGTAATTATTGTCCGCATGATACAATAATATTATAAATGACCGTGTAAAAATAACGGTAAAAAATAAAATCCCTTTTAAAACGACGTAGCCTTTCAGGCGGTTGGAGTTTTTTAATGGACACAACACATTCAGATGTCGGGATTTATGATATCTAGTTGACAGGTGGCAAAAGCAAATATTATAGTGTTTAATGGCACCCCGAGGGATCAATGGTCAACCGTCGCGACTAAAAGGCAGAATTATTACAGTACTGACAAGGCTGGGCGGGTACGCCGAAAGTGCACTCAACGTCACCTTACCTTAAGGACTTTACGGCTTTTGAATAAATAATAATGGCAAACGTGTGTGCCGTCCGACATTCGTTTTCGATATATTTACACACAAACACACACATAATTATACGCCCATTACCGATTTTGAGCACCGATTTGTACTTCAACAATGTCCCTATTACAATTATTTACATTTTTCCTCGATTTTTATACGTCAGGCATTTGTTGTGCGGACGATATCGTCACAATCGTTTGCTGCTCGTGGACGAGTTAACATTTTGATCTCTAAATTGTTAATATATCGGAACTAAGTAATAAATTCTCAGGAAAAAAAACTATGGGTAAGTACGACTGTATTATGTTGTTGGTCCGACTATAAAACAATGAATCGAGTTTGTCGACAAATTTAATGGTATTTTTAGACACATGTATCTTATTTTTTATTTCTCAATTGGGTGTTATAACTAATAAAGCTGTCGTTTAGTTCAAGCAGTTTTAAAAAACGACTCCATCGTCCTTCCCTTCGCCAATTACACTGTTTTTATTTTTATTAAATTTTTTTCTATGTACAATACCATTTTTTCGATAAGAATTATACAAAGACCAATATATAGGTACGATAAAATATGATAGTCATACCTACTCCATCGCTGTCGTGGCAATGTTTGTGCTAAGAAGGTGATTGTATTCATCCTAACTTGTTATCCATTCTTTTCATTTTTAGTATTACAAATAAATAGTGTACACACTCGTGTAATATATAAACAAAATTGTAAAATATATATACATATTATCGCAGGACGAACGCTGCCTATACCGGTCTACTGTCGTGTGTGCGGTGATAAGTCGTTTGGAAAGCATTACGGTGTTTACTGTTGTGATGGTTGCTCTTGTTTCTTTAAGAGAAGTGTCAGAAGAAGAATTATTTACACGTGTATTGGTAAGACGTTAAACGTATTATACACACACGGTACGGTAAAATTTGTATCAACCTACTATTTTAGCTGGTTCTGGCCAATGCACTGTGGACAAATCAAGAAGAAACTGGTGTCCGTTTTGTAGACTCCAAAAATGCCTTAGAGTCAATATGAACGTTGCTGGTAATATTTATGTACTTTTATCGCGACGATAGTAATAATTTAAATATAAGAGTCATTACTTTCGATCAAAATATGATTGTTAATACACGATTCACGTTAACGACAAATAAGTTTAAGTTTACCAAATATTTGTACGTGTACTTTCTTTTTGAAGTCAACAAATCATACATTATAATTATTTTTAATTTTATTTTTGCTAACAACTAAAATCTTAAGTTTTTTTTTTATCATTTTAGCCGTTCAAGAGGAAAGAGGTCCTAGAAAATCTAAGGCACCTAAACGTATCGAAAACAATATCATTATTCCAAGAAATTGGAATACCAGAAGTATGTGTTTTCTTGTTTTTTAGAAACTAGACAATTATTTTTTTTAAATTTATTCCTTACAACTTATATTTGTTTCCGCATTTTCTTTAATACAAAATAAAGCTTTGAATTTTTAACAATAATTTTAATAATACTGTTAACATTTTAAATTAAATTCAATAAAATATATGCAGTGTGCCCTCCTATTTTTATTTTTTTGAATTTTTACATATTATTAAAATGCTTAAAACAACACAATACAGTGCAGTATTATAATTGGATGTCAAACCACACACGTTTTCAACCCTAAACGGTTTATACATGAGAATAACTTTTTTTTTATCTTAAAATTTTTAAAAATAATGATGAATAATACTAAACTTTGTTTAGTTTAATAATGTGATTTATTTTTCGACGAATAATCAATTGTTCTTAACTCGAGAAGTATAAAACTTTTTGTAAAAATATGGTGGCAAAATAAAAACTACACTTTAGAGTAAAGTTCCCAAACATTAACAATAATAATTGTAATGTCAAAATGTGTATAAAAACAAATATTATGAATATTATAATCAATGGTACAACTAATTTTTTATTTTAGATTCTAATTGTTCAAACACTGTAATGTGTTTGTTGGGTTTTAGGTAATCAACTTTTTGAAATCGGAGCACAAATATTTTTGACCAGCCTCAAGCAATGTAGATTGAGTGAACCCTTGATATTACTACCGCAGACAGACCAAAATAATATACTTATTAAAACATGGCATCAGACATTCGTACTGATGGCAGCGTTTTGGCCCGATAACTTAGTTAGTTATTTATCATGGTAAGACACATTATAGGTATAATTTATACTAATAATAACTTTTTTTGTTGTTTTTTACTTTTTAGTTCTGGTTTGAAGGAGGAAATTATTATAGCCACATTACTCGCTAATTATAGAGCAATGAAACTCGATCCCATCGAGTACAACCTTTTATTGATTTTGATACTTTGTAGACCAGGTAAATATTGATTAATTTAATTAATTTAATAATTATTGATTATTTCAATGACTAATTAATTAAATAAATAGAGTACCTAAAACGGTTACTTAGTCAAGTATTTAATTAAATTCATTACTTCGTTGATTAAATCTATACAATTATAATATTATATTGTGTCAATCATTACGGTTAAGGATGTCTTTTATGTAAACCTATTTATTTTTTTTTTAAGATCTATGCAGCCAAGAATTCAAAAATGAATTGACTATTATGGATGTAAACGCTAAATGCGCATTGATGAACCACGTGACCACCAAATCTATTACTAGATATTACGGACTAATAGCCAATATTATTTCCATTACTGACGATTTAGCTGAATATATAAAAGCCATATTTTTCGAGTCGTCTATTAGGATTGTTCCAATGCACCACCTTGTATCCGTAGTTACTTAAAAAATGTATATGATCTGCTTGTATACATATATAATAATTACATTTGGTAAAATCGCTGGAGTTATACTAAGAGTGTACAAATAATATATTATATTGATAGATTATGATGTTATATCACAGCAAACGTAAGTCACAGCTTCTGGGCCATTAGCTGTAACTTACAATCAGTTCACATAAATTAAATTGTTTTTCTTATTACCACTATTTCAATACCTCACTTTCAGTTAAACGTGTGTATTATGTGCATGATGATATTACTCGAAACAAAAAAAAAAGTACAATAATTGTAATTGTAATTTAATTTTAAAATGTCCAACAATTTAAGTATAAATAATGATGATAGATAATAATGATTAAGAGAGTTCTAGCTGTTTGATAAGTCACAAGACATAGATAATAAAAATAAAAAATGAAATAATTTGTTTGTTTTTTTTTAGTTGTTTTTAAACATAATATGAGTAGTAAATTAGACCACTTGTCGCATTATATACGTCAGCCGTGTGACAATCAAAAGAAAGAATGCAACCACATTTGCATGAATGTAATTTAAATCACCCTAATGTGGTTAGATAGGAGTGAACTAATACAAAATGACGTAAATCCACATTTTAAATTTTATCGGCAAATAAGTTAATGTCACATCGTATATTCCTCGTTTACTACATTTAAATTTTACAAACTAATCCCATTAAATATTCAGAACAGAAAACATATTTATTAAAAAAAAATTATATTTTACCTAATATTATATACACTCTTTCGTTACCAATCATACCATGCCTTTTACAGTATTCTAAATTGTTTCTAAATTGTTCTTCAGATAGATGATCTCCCGTATAGTGATAGAAATCACCTAATACACTTTCATCACTCCTTAAACTATCACCTAAAGTATGTTTTTATGATATTCTAATCCTCCTAGAATAATACCACCAGTGTGATGCTCTCCTCCACTAACTCCATAGCCACCTGTTAAACTTCCACCACTACTATAACCGGCTCCAAAATATCCGCCTCCGTTGCCACTCCCTATTGTTAACTCTTTATGATATCCTAACCCCCCTGTATGATTCCCATCTCCATTACCACCAACTAAATATCCACTCCCTATTGCAAACTCTTTATGATATTCTAAACCTCCTGCATGATATCCACCTCCAATCCCACCAATTAAGAGGGCGCCACTCACCCGTTATTTTTTTCAAATGACCCGCCTTGCGCGGATTAATTTTACAAAGGCTGTAATCAAAACTAAGAAACCAAATTTTCACTTAATATAGACAACAACATTGTCTGTGTTCAACCAGTTAATGAATAATTAATAAATTAAGAAAGGACTTTTTTTACTTTTTTAAAAATGATATTGCGTTGGTACCTAGTTACATAGTGTTATTTTCCCACCAATATAAACAAAAACAATTTTTAATTTGACATTATTAAATGTAACTAAAATACCTTTATAATTTGTTAAGAGTAAAAGTTTCAAATTTTTTCTAGAACTTAAATTTGTTTTTTTAATGACTTCCAAAGTTAAAAACAACTTACAACAAAAAAATCAATATTTTCTAAATAATGTTTGCGGTAAAACAAATTGGATAAATAATTTTTAAAAGTGTATTTAAACGTACAAAGTATGCTAAAATTACCTCAAAATTGTGTTTCTTACAACTTAAGAGGTCATTTAAAAAAAGAATCAAGCGTGCTGGCAGTGCGGCCTAGTTCATGATTTGACGCCCGGTACAGCGCCTTCAATGGGACCTTTAAAAACTTAATTTTGATTTTTTTTTAATAGTTTAACTGTTTTTTTAAATAAAATTTTTCATTTCTATTGGTGGAAAAATAACACTATGTAACTAGGTATAATATATTGAATACTGATTGTGGGTTAGTAATGAAGTTTGATTACGAGTAGCGATACTTAACCAATAAATAGTCACTCGTTTATTTATTGTATTATGAAGGAAAATAAGATTAAACTTGATTTTTTTGTAGAACAAAACAATTTAAGTTAACTTAAAAACAAATGAATAGTAAATGTGCTGCATAGGTACTGCAAGAGTGAAATAAAAAAATAGGTAACTTTTAAAGTTTACTATATAATTTTAGATACACCGTTTGAACTAAATATAAAATATATATTTTGTAATTAATAACTTTATCTTAGGTCGCATTTGGTTTGGTTACATTTAATTATTGAACGAAGAAGTCGCTACATGCCTTTAAATAAAAAAGTTTCAACAGTTGAAGTGAGTTATTCCCTCTTGCACAAAAATATTTTTTCATTAAAAATGGCCTAAATAATAATAATAATACTTCTTCGTTTTATAACTTATAAAATCTATCTATACAACTAGTTAAATTGTTGACAATTATTAAAATGCAATTGTATATGATAAAATATATTTTGGCTAACTATCGCAAGCGAAAATGTCTGAACCATGATCACCAGAATGATAACCTAGTCAAAATCTGACAACGAAGTAAAGTACTTATTTATCTAGGAAAGCATCTTGTACCAATATATGTAGTTTAATATAATATATGTATATATTTTTGTACATCAAAAATATCTTTCCTAATTGCAGTGTCTATGGTGTGAAAAGGTAGAAATGGCTGTTATTAGACGCCATAAAAAAACTATTACTCTATATGTGAGTCAATGTATTTAAGACAAACAATTACAAATTAAAAATAGCTTCAACAATATTATGTTATTGGATATGTAAATATGTTCTAAAAGATATTTCTTTAAGTAAAAAGATCACAGTCAGTCTAAAATTAGAAATTACTGAGCTACAATTATCAAATAAGGTCAAAATAATAACGAGCCATTTAAAGTTTCTACGATATAGAAAATGTTTACAGTAGAGTCACGTTAACTTCATTCTTGGGAGTTGCGATTATTAATTATACAAAAACTGTTTAATAACAACTATTCGGACTTTGGAAAGCTCTTTTATTAAAAAAATTAATATTTAGCCTTCGGGGCACGTAGCCCTGTCATAACTTCTCCCTCCCTCCCCAAATCGGGTTCTGATGTTTAGAATTGCAATTTTGATAATGAACGACAAGTAAAATTTAAAATTTTATATATCTGTCATTACACGCCCTAAACGATACTTGTAGTATACACTTATTGACCACCAAAGAAATAGATTAGACATAAGTTAACATTAGGCGACTACTACTACTGAGTTGCCTTTTAATGTACCTACGCAAAACGTTCGAGGTATTAATAGCCCATTTTATAATATCATTTGACAAATCCGTTTGGCTAATGGAAGATCACTCATTGTTCATTTAGACATAATATTTCCATTGTCATTCCATCGCTTGTTGTTGTGAGAAAAAAATGATTTGCAATTTAATAACAGGACATTTATGTACTACAATGATATCAGTATTCTGTAGCCTTAGAATGTATGATATAGGTAAAAAGAGATGAAAAAAATGCAGGTCACAAAAAAATCACTCTTAAAAACAAACGCATCGAAAAAATGTACAGTAAGTAAACATTTTTATCTCAATAAAATTATTATTTAATAATTTTGTTAATTTCAATTTTTACAAGGTTTTTTAAAAAAATAGATTGGATAAGGTGGTTTAATTTTTTATCTATAAATAATAAACCAACTATTTTATTTATTGAGTTAAACATAATGTTACTCGTGAATGAAAAATGATCTTTTGTAGAAAGCAGATGCTTACAACATGATAATGAGAAATAAAACAAATTTTACTTTTTAAACACTTTTAAAATTATTTAATTACCTGGTTAAACAATAATATTGACATACACCAGATAGCAGGTGACCAACTAAACTACAGACAAAGTACTGACAATTACTGACCAAAATACATAAGTTTATTATACTTAAATACTAATATGCTAAATAACCAATAAGGTGTTTATGATTACAAAAAGAGAAAATAACAATGCAACAAGGACATCAAGTATAAGTATCAGTTTAAAGGTCATACATTTAGACTAATAAGTATTGATGTTATTGTGTAGATGATAAAATATAGGAGATAACCCCAATAACCTTAGATATTTACTATATTTTTTGATAAATACATTTTTAGTCTAATTGTTAATGTTTATGATCTTATTTAAATTTTCCCCAACTCTGCTCATAAGTATTATAGGTACACCTCGTTGATAGACTGTACCGCGTGTTTCATTAATATAAAAATAATGGTATACTAGTCGTTCTGATTTAATCACTCAATCGATTAAATGAAATTTCGTTACAATGATGTCCTCTGTGACTACCGAATTGGCAATTATCTGCTTAGTAAGTCAATTACACTATAATTTTTAACATAAATTAGTAATTATTGTAAAAAATATAATTTTAAATAAAATACTGTTAATAAAATCAAAAACTCCTTAAAATTATGTTAAATACTCTTAATTACTTAAAAAAAACTATGTTAAGTATAAAATTTTCTGTTTTTCTAGACGTTAGTTAAGGTGCACTAAAATAGCTTGAGCAAAAAATTAAAATGTAGTTAATATTCCTCCTGAAGTATAAATACATTATTAGAAGTTTTACTATCATATAACGCGACAAATGGTTTCATAGGCGATCAGTGCTGTTTAATTTTTACCTGTTTTTCCGGCATGCTTATTACGTTCGTGCGTGCTGTAGTCGTTATTTAAAATACTGCCACATCCATAAAGTCTAATTTAATTCGTTTGTGTTTGCAAGTAGACATTTTTGCACCGGAAAACAAAACTTTAAGGTAAATAAATTACGATTATATAGGTTTACACTGAACACGACGGGTTTAATTAAATCAATACACCGTCGAATAGATAACATGGGATGTATAAATTATGTATACAATTCTATAGTTATGGATTTTTATTTTCCTGCATGGCTATTTTTTAACGGTGCCTACCATGGTTATTGCACATCGTCTCGTATTGTTGTCTTCAAAAATAAAATAACAATGTAACCAATTTTACTATAATATATTTTACCGTGTAAATTTTACTTGATTATGATTGGCCGCCCGTTACGCTGACATACTTGTTTTTATCATCGGATATTTGACGAAGAAGGGGTATATTATGAGCAATAACCTTGTCTACTTCAATCATGGTTGGCGCATAAGACGATCTCTCTCCGAGAAAAAAATTACAAAGGTATTTGAGCCTTGACAGTCAACCGTATGAGCCATCGATATTGTAATGTAATACTGTCGCATGTGTTCCTGGTACACAACAGTGGTTCACACGTATCGACGAGCCCACAGCAAGTAAGTTGTTCCTTATAAACCGGTTGCATAAGATCCTGGTACAAATACTAAAACAACGGGTTATCGATGCTCAATCTAGAGCGCCATATAAACAATACGGCTACAACGCTACGGCTACCGCGAGTTGTACACTTTGTGGATAGTTACTAATTAGAATAACCGTCATTATACGTATTAAATCCGAATACGAAGTTTTAGCCACTTCTTTAATGACTAATAGTTTCGTTATTTTTTAGTTTAAAAAGTCACAAAAATTTGTTAAAGGGCCTTTACACTAGCATTTATTAAGGCGCATTGTATAGGTAATTTTTCACTAAAACTTAACATTACGCTAAAATTTTTGAGCATATATATTACCATAGGAAAGAAGGATCTATTTTAATATTTTATCTTTTTTTGTACAAAAATATATGTTTCTACTTCAAACGAACAATGTTTTCTTAAGAATACTTCGATTTAAGTTTTGTAACAACATTTCAATTCTTCATAACATTTTCAAGGCATCATAAAAAAGATTGCGGCGCAATTTTAAAAAAATTGTTTGTTAATTAATTATTTCAGTTAAAAATAGTTAAACATTGCAGTTTTTTACAATGAAATAATTAATTAACCAAAAATAATTTTAAAATTGTGCCACGATCAATGCCTTGAAAATATTATGAAGAATTGAAATGTTGTTTCAAAACTTAAATCGAAGTATTCTTAGGAACATAACGTTTGAAGTATAAACATATGTTTTTGTACAAAAATAGATCCTACATGCGTAATAAAAATTAAAAAATATATCAAAATAAATCCTTCTTTTCTGTGGTTTTATATATATATATATATATATGTTTCAAAATATTAACTTAATGAAAAAACTTAGTGAAAAATTGCCTATACAATACGCCTTAATAAATGGTAGTGTAGAGGCCCCTTAATTATTGCAATGTTAAAAACTGCAATTGTTAACTTTTTTAAACTGAAATGATAAATTAACAACATAGAATGATTCTTTTATCGTGCAGCACTAGTTTTCTGAAGAATTATAAAAAATTAATAGTTGTTTTCTTATGTTTTTATTAGATGATTAGTACTTTTGTATAGTGCTATCTATAAAATAACAGTATAATACTTTTCATAGGTATAGTTAAAACTTTATTGTATATAATATACGGGTATGTATACCTATACAATTAGGTTAACAGTTCACACTTGGTAATAATTACTGCTTTGTTTTGTTGATTACTTTCAGATTTTAAATTCAGCTTGTTCAATTAAATACCCTAGTGACTTCGGTTCTACATTGTTTTCAAACGAGAACAATTTGAATTTCGATTTCATCGTAGTCGGTAGTGGAAGCGCCGGTGCAACTGTCGCGGCACGGCTAAGTGAAATTCCAGAATGGAACGTCTTGTTACTGGAAGCCGGCGGGGACCCTCCCGAAAGCAGCGAAATACCGTTCAACTTCTTCGAGCTACTAAAGTCAAAGTACGACTGGCAATTTCGCACGGAACGTGAGAAGAACTTGTTCAAGTCACTAGAAGGCGAACGCGCTACTATCAATAGGGGATTCACGCTGGGAGGATCGTCTTCCATCAACGCGATGATGTACTTTCGTGGCACGAAACGAGATTTCGATACTTGGGAGCGCCACGGAAACGTAGGGTGGGGTTTCAAAGACGTACTTCCGTACTTTTTAAAGTCTGAGAATTTTATCGACACACAACGGTTCAACCGTAAGATACACTCGAAAAACGGCCCGCTCACCGTAAGTCCAGCCGTGGTTCTCGATCCGCTCTATACGGTTATAACCAAAGGTGAGCGGTTGTTAAACTTGACCGAGATAGAAGATTTCAATCAAATCGAACCCACAATCGGGTATAGGAATATAGACACGACCACCCGTAATGGTCTTCGGTGTAGCACGCTCAAAGCGTTTCTTTTGCCAGCCAGCAAACGCAAGAATCTGTTCGTTTCAAAGTATACCAGAGTCACAAAAGTCATCGTGGTGAACGACACGGCTGTTGGCGTTGAGTTCGTCACACCCGATGGCGATTTCCGGTCGGTCAACTGTTCGAAAGAAGTAATTCTGTCAGCAGGGGCAATAATGAGCCCACACATACTAATGTTGTCTGGAATCGGTCCCAGAGACCATTTGAAAAGTCACGGCATCGATGTTGTGAAAGATTCCTCGGTGGGGTACAACCATCAGGATCACGTATCGTTCCCAGGGTTAGTATTTACCAATCGAAAAAACGTACCCGACAGCGTCAAACAAAAAGACGTCGACGATTTGATAGGTATGCTATCGAACGCAACCGTCGAAGGCGAAGCTACCTTGGGCATAACTGGCCTCGTTGGCTTCATTAAATCGGATGACAAATTGCAGTATCCAGACATGCAGCTGTACACCGTCAAGTACCCGTTTAATACTACCAGAAATACACGGAATGGAATGAGCGATGTACAGAATTTTTTCGGGTTTTCAACGGAAGTAAGCAACATGTACGACAAATTAAACGAGAAAAGCGACATCATATTTATATACCCAGTTTTGTTGAATCCATCAAGTACTGGCCGAATAACGTTGCAGTCATCAGACCCATTAGCTAACCCAAAAATTGTTACGAATTTCTTGTCTCACGACCATGAATACGAAGTCTTACTAAAGGGTGTAGATTTTTTGGTGAAACTATCTAAAACTGAGCCAATGGTCGATGCAGGCATAGTTTTAGAACAGGCGAAATTACCCAATTGCGTGGAACACGAATGGGGTACTAAAGAATACTGGATATGTGCTATAAAAAATGTGGCAAGCCACATGTTTCATCCGGTAGGGGCATGTAAAATGGGTCCAGCACACGATCCATCCTCAGTGGTCGATCCTACATTGAGAGTAATTGGGATTAATCGTTTAAGGGTAATCGACAGTTCAATAATGCCAATAATCGTTTCGGTAAACACAAATGCGGCAACTATTATGATCGGCGAAAAAGGCTCGGATATGATAAAGCAACACTACAACAAACATACTTAACGTCGATTTTTTTTTTTTTAATGTTATCTTTTATATTTTACACAGCGTTTATGATGTAAATTTAATTTGAACAGATTTAAAACTTAAAAATAAAATAGACTAAAGCACATAAGTAATATTAAAAATAAATACATATGTAAATCAGATAATTTTTAAGTTTTCTTGAAGTCTCAACAGTATTTAGGTATATTATTTAAAATTATAATATTATAAATTATAATGTGAATACAAATTTCGACATTGAACCGAACCAGAATCGTCAATGTAATGCACCGAGTTTCATTACTCGAATACATGGGAAATTCATATTTTTTATTTAATTTTTTTAATTTTTGGTTTTAAGAGAGTAGTTTCTATGAACACAGTTTTTTTAATTTACACCACCGGTCATTGCCTATTTGTATGACCATTTCCGTCGGAAAAGTATTGTAGTGCAATGATATGTCATTATTTTTATTTTGTTTCTGGACACACAATATTTTCTGAGCCACTGAAGCGATTTTTTTTCGCAGGAAGTCTATACATCAAAAATACTATCTGAAAAGTATTTAATGGGGCCATAAATGAAAAAAGGCCTCCATTCCCCTTCAAAATCGAGAAAGACAACCAAAAGAATTACATGTATTTAACTTTAAAATTACGGCGCTCTAAAAGTTTTTAAAAATAGTCAAATTCCATATTTGCGTGTAATATTTATTAAACATAGAACTACCGATAAAGGCTGACAAACCAAAAATGATCATAAATCCTTTCCTCTAAGAGAGTTTGATACTTTTTCATTAGTTTCATTATTTTTTCCAACATACTTTTAGGACTTAAGATCTGAAAATTAGACAAATAAACAAATTTTTTTTTCTGGACGGGAGGAGAAGTACAGTCGAGTGAGAATCAGCAATACATCCCGCCATTCGTCCGCTCTAAAACTCTAAGACTATACACTTAAAAAACATACTGTTTTTGTGTGTTATTTACACTGATGTTGTTTTTGCATTATATTTTTCAATCCGCCATTATTACTATACTACTACGTGTGTTTGTTATAAACATTATAACGTACTGAATAATATTTGATAAATGATTTCACCCAATAGTTTATTTTGTACATAGTATGGGTTTTTGCATTTAGCAGCGGATAGGTCAAGTTAAATTAATGTTTTCGAAGCTTTAACTGTTTCTAAACTTTGAAATAAAAAAAAATAAAAAATAAAAATGCAAAAATAAAGCTGGATGGTACACTCGATCGAACCCGCACCTGTTGGTCGATGGCTAATGTTATTGACCATTACGCCATCTAGACACATTTACTGTCAATTGGTAATTCTTGGGTATCCAACATAAAACCATTAAAATTGATAAACTTTAAAGTCGGGTAACTGAAAAACTAACGATTTCTGCAATTTTTTTGCGCCATCGTTCCCTATACGTCGCCGTCGGCCGTATTCGACAGTGATAACATTGTTGACTTAGTAAAAGCGAAATTCATGGAAAAGAGCACATCACGTTTTAGTAATAGGAAAAAATAGATAGAATTATTTTTTTGTTTATCATCGTCGCAGCGTTATTGTGCTCGGTACACTGTGGTCTGGGTTATTATTATTTTTTTTTTTTTAACAAGGTGCACATGTCAGCACGTGCGACATACACACACACACACACACACACACACAGTATTATAATCTATATAAACACAATATTGGCCGGTCCGTCCCGAATAATAATAATAATAAATAATTGTAATATTATTGCCGTGGCATGTCTGCAGCAGTTCCCAGACCGACTATATTACAATACAGCAAGGGTGTCCCGTCGTCGCGTTCACATTTGGCATTTGGCATTGTCGTCGGTCGGTCGTTGACGATGACGATTTAAATATAGACCGCGTGTAGGCCTCGGTCGGAGTAAGTACCTACTTAGTTTTATCATATTATAATACACACATATATTATGATATATGTATATATCGAGCAGCACCGACTTTAATATATTATACTGTACAATATCCCAGACCAGGCCGTGTATCTGAAAACGGGTAAAATATAAAAATAATTGCCAAAGCGCAAACGTCCGCCGCTGCACTGCCGTCTTACTATATATTAAACAAATAATAATAATAATACGAGCGACTTATCCGGAATGCGTCTGGACCTTGAGACCAAAAAAAAAAACAAATTGTCTTCAGACTTCAATATAAATAGAACGGCCGCATACTTTTCAAACGCTGATAAGACGTGCGAGAGCAAAGGATAATCAGAGGACCTCTGGGGCACAAAGAGTTTGGGGGCCCTTTGAGAAAATAAAAAATAAAAAAAACGTCAAAATGTAATTTAAAGACGTGGAACCGACGATAATATTATTATCGTCCGCAAATGGTTACACACGCGGTTAAAATATTATGGCATCGCCGACCGACCCACGGCGAATCGTATTTGTCTTATGACATTATAAAATATAAATAATTATGAAACGGACCAAAACGAAAATTGGCCGAACCGCCTCAGCGATAACATCGCACGCGATTAGCTCAGAGTCAATGCGCCCAAGTTAAGACCCGGACTCGGATAAGGAATATGTATATAAATACAATATACTATACAGCTAAACAACAGCCGTTGTTTGCAGTACAACATTTTTATAATACATGATAATTTTTTTAAGAGTATGAAAGGTTAATGAATAACAAAAGCGTTAAAAAAACAATATTATTAAATTTTTTAATATTATAAATATTAAAAAGGAATTGCAATTTGTAACTAGGCAAAATAGAATTTTCACGTCAAATGTAAAATGCACCCAAAATTAATTAGTTACGTTACATAATAATATACATTAGCTATTCAAATAGTAATTTGCGACCTAATTTTTTTCAAATTTGAGAACATTGATTGTCTTAGTCGTCTACCGGATTGGAGTACATAGTGATAGTAATTTAACAAAATTACTCCAATGCAGTTAAAATAGTATTGGAAAACATTTAGGTACGAAATCTAATATAAATTACGAAAGTCCCTCTCCAATAATAATTTGAAAAAAACATAACTAATTAAATACGCTCGAAAAAAAGATAAAATTTATTATACCCACGTTTTTTACCATTTATGGTATTTTGAACATGTGTGCATAATGTACACAATACACATGTTATGTTTGTCTTTCCTAGAACAGTGATTAAACCAGCTCATTACCATTCCCAAAAACCTAGCGTAATTTATAAAACAAATTTAATGATCGGTTTAACAAGTTTAGATAACTAAACAGACTAACCATTGCAGATTTTAACTAAACAGACAAATTTACAATTAGGATAATATAAGTTTATAAAAAGATAAATTTGGTACACTTAAAAAAAATGTAGACATTTCTAACATCAAACTTGTAATTTAGTTAAACAGCTTTTACAAATTAATTAAGTAGTCTAAAACTTTTAGGTGATAAAAATACTGTGTTACATTATATAAAAGAAACTACTTGTTTTTTATGTGTCTCTTGTGTAAATGTTTTTTCTAAATTAGAATGTCCAAATTTTGGCATAAAACATACACCAATATTTTGTTATTTATTTATATTTTAAAAAAATATTAAATATTATGAAAATATAAATATTTATGTATATAATTAAAAAATACTAGATCAATAATTTTAATTTTCGATGTGATCACTTAGCACATAAATCATAAAAAGGCAAAATTCTTATTTGAATCTTTTAAAAAAAATCTGTTTGATATAAAACCCTTTGTTTTTCTGATTTTTGTTGTACCACAATGTTTGGTCCAATGGATTAACTCTTGAACTTAAGGACTATGAATTTGCAAAATGGTGGTAACGTTCGGAAATCCGCTTTGGTATCGTTCTGTGTATGTTTATTTATTCGAAGTAAAACAAAAAAAAAAAACCTATTTACGTTGGCAGCCCCGCCTGAGCCGCCGTCGACGCGACGTCCCGGTGCTGCCGTTGCGCACGTTCGGGACATATTTTAAATAGCTCGGCCGAAGATTTGGATACTCGGGACGCCGCATACACACTCACACGCGCGCTCCCGTTTGAACACTTTGGACGTATCGTGCCGACGTCGGGCACGTGTTCGCGACATCGTATGCAATTACTAATTGCTCGTCCTTTCCGGTGAGACTTCTCTGTTTTGTGTGCGTGCCGGGTGCATTTTGCGTGCGAACAAGTGCGCGTCCCGCTTAGGAGATATCCGAAGTCGTCCGTCTCGGGTGTTAGTTGTGCGCCGCCGATGCGGCAAAGGGGACGGCGGCGGTGTCGGTGACCCCTGCACCTTTCGTCCGTCTACGACGGGTTCGATGCGGCCGATAATAGTATGGCGTCGGTGACCGCGCTGCTGCTGCTGCTGCTGGCCGTCGGCGTAACGGCGGTCAGGAGCGCCCGGGCCGACGTGCTCGGGTACACGGATACGGTGCGGCTAGACCGTCAAGGGCCGCTCAAGGGCTTGCTGACGACGGTGGGAGGCCCCGGCGGTCATCTCGACCAAGTGGAGGTGTACCTGGGCGTGCCGTACGCGTCCCAAGAGCGGTTCATGCCGCCCGGAGCACCTCCCGCGTGGTGTGCTTCTTCGGCTAGCGGTGGCGGCGGCGGCGGCCACGGACACGGTCATTGCCGGCCGCTGTTGGCCGAATACCTGAAACCGGTATGCCCGCAAAAGTTGCCTGAAATAGGAGACGCCGCGGTCGGCGCTAACAAGCGACTGTCGGCCGTCCGGCAGAACTACCTGAAACGCCTGTTGCCGTACTTGGGCAACCAGAGCGAGGATTGCCTGTACCTGAACATATACGCGCCACACGGTCAGTGTCTAATCAATCATATTAGTTGTTGTTATAATTATGAAACTGTAAAAAAAGATCTTGAGCCTTACGTTGGTCTGTTCTTTAAGTGGTTAAGTAGTTAACTATTTTAAGCAAATGTTTTTATTCTACTTCTTTTTTTCGCATCTTCCCGCCTATAGCGGAATCAAAAATCAATAATATGCCAAATGTCTATACTCGGGTAATTACCAATTAAGGACATTGCGCATGTTTGATGTATTCCAATCTATGCCAAGAAGATGACGGAAACTACCCTCTCTGTCCACCTATCTGTCCACAGTCCAATTTACTGATGCTATTAGAATAATCACAATTTTTTTTCAAGCCCAAAAAAATTCGGAATTAAAATAATTAATAAATAATAAAAAGAATAATATTTTTGTCAACCAAATTACGTTCGGTTAGGTAAAACAAATGAATTAAAAACTTATTCCTATTCGACATCGGATGATAAACATGACCAAAAAAAAAAAAATACTTGACTACGTATACAAAAGTTATACACTTCACAAAAAGTAATTTTTATAAAAATAATGAATTGTGTCGTTTTTGAAATTACCGATTAAATGCATTCAAACGAATTAAAGTATAATATGCAAAATGATTTGTCTGATTTTTTGTTCAAGAATCAAATTATCCTATGTTAGTGGATACAACTGATATGTCTTTGTAATAAATTAGTGTCACATAAAACGGTCAAAAAAAAACTGAATACTAAACTTTTTCCTTACTATGTTATGGTACGTCCATTCAAAGCCAATGCATTGTATTATTTTTAAAAAAAGTTGAGTATTTGTGTATACATTTTGTATAATAACGTTATTTTTATGATACCCCAACTAAAAACGAAACATTTCATTTAGCCAATAAGACTTATAATTATTACAATTAAAAAACTAAATCAAATTACCGAAAATATTTTTCTATTATATGGTAAATTACTTGGATAGTTTTTTATATTATATTTAAGACAATCCTGTAATAATTACGCCATAAATTATGAATAGACGTAGATATAAGAATTACTAGTTCAAGTATAAATTGGCTGTGTTGTTTTTATTGGTCACGCGTGCGTTCGACAAAAGCAACACATTTGACTTCTGTGCTGTTTCTAATTCTAAGAGTATTTTTAAATAAAAATAAAACCTACGGTTTACCATGGCGTACTTAACTTTACAAGCAATACTGGAGTCAGGATAATTCATCACGACCACTAAGCTAGATTTATAATGTGCTATTTTCAAGAATCCTTAATTTTGGTTAAAAATTCTAAAGCATCTTCAGGCTATAACATAATGTTATAATACCTTTTGTAGTGTTTGTTTAAAAATTAAAGTTTTTCACGGAAGAGAAAAAACATATTTTTTAAAAACAATTGTTATATATTATCTTTTTTTTCTTCATTAGAGTTGTTACTCATTAGTCACATTCATTTGCCACGTGACAATTCACTCCTTCAACGTTCTCAGCGCGTATTTTTGTCCACAATATCTTTAATAAATAGTATCTCGTTATATAACACAACAAAGAGGGTTTCTTAAATATTGTACCGGGCTTTTTTGTTTTTTATTATATCCCTATTAGACCGTTATTGTGCTGCTTCTCTTATTCAGAACACCGAATGAGCTTATGTTGTGTGTTTTACATGTTTTTTTATCCATAAATTCAAATTTTTTAGAATTTTTAGTTTGTATCTAAGAATTGAGTCATTGAGTTTAAACTAATGACATCAAATAATTTTAAAAAACAATTTACTGTGCATTGTACTTTATCATTAGTATGGAAATACTATAATGATGGGACATGTTTTTTCGTTCTGAGATATCAGCTAGGATCAAACTGGTATATTCTAAAAATTATGTTTAACTTAGAAGCCATGGACTAGTGGCTTGAGTACAAACAACGACCAATCGTACTAGCACGGGAAAAGGTGAACAGAAAACTAGTAAGCAGAACAAATCATAAGAGGAGTTGTAGAAGCAATAGAGAGCAAAGCCAATAACAATATGCTTTAGACTTTCTGTTATTAAACACCACTCGTTGTCAGTATAGGAATCATCGTCAGGTGAAAACGATTATGTGTACACCAACATCTTTGGCGGAAAACGATTTTTTTACTTTTTACTGGATACGGCATAACGAGGTCACCGCAGAGTAGCTGCCATTGTAAGGCAACGCGCCGCGGTCGTGGGCCGCTCGGCTTATTTTTAGTCGCATGTGATTTACGTTGAATCGTATTGCGACAGTGCGACGCCGTCGGTAGTTTCCGGTTTAACATTGTGGATACTTGGGCACGTGTGAGGATCGTCAATGGCCACGGAAATTTCAGCTTGATTTGTATAATATTCAAAATTGAAAAACAAATCGTTGTAAACTTCACACCTAGCTATGAATCGACAAACTCACTTGACAGAACATATTTTGTAGTACGCCTTTCGAACAACTGCCAGTGAGAATTTTGCGGTTTAGGCAAACGGACTCCGCAGATGCGCCAATGTCTGTCTGCCAAGTGCTAACAACCCTTTGCTTGCACATGAAACAGCATTAAGCACAAAATGCCGGTAATTAGTAAAACTGCAGAGCATGTACAGTGTTGTGCAGTTCTCTGCTTTGGCCAAATATAAAAACAATGCAAGAAATACAACTTTTTGGTTTTTAAATTCGCCGACGAAAGCCTAAACAAATTTGTAAAAATGTAGCTGGTAGGTACTTTATTCCTCTCTCGATGAGAGACTAAACATTGACCGAAATTGAAGGACTACGATGATGGTTTGGAGATTACCACGTCTGCTTGGGCAGTTGTCGGGCCGCCTCTATGCGACCAACGCATTCCACTGTGACTCGGCGCACGAGTAAAAGGTGGTTATAATATACCGTGTGTTACATTTAACGACGGCCAAACGATAATTTGTTCAAGACGATAGAGACTTATACACAGGGCCGACATTAATACACCGACTAGACCGTATAATAGGGTGTTTGGCATGGATTGCGGTTTTCGCGGTACAATGTGCGGTTTTCATCACTTGAGCCGTTGCACCGTCGTCGACAAAACGTCGGGAGACATTACTGTTGTTTGGGTTCGAGAAAAGACGTTATGTATAAATATACGGTTTTTTATTTTGTTGTATATAAATGCCAACGGCTTTACACGTGCCATCTGGAGGGACGGACGCGTAGCTCTCCTTCTTCAATAAAGTGCACCGTTGCCGTCGCCGCCGCCACATCATCTCTCTCGCCGTGTCTACTTAGCTTAATGACTCCGGTAAACGACCTCAAGACGCACGTGGTTTTTTCGTGTAACGCTCATCGTTCTCGTAAAATTCTCTCTTTTTTTTTTTTTTAAATATGTTTCACGTTGTATGTTTTTGTTTGTGTTCTGCCGCCAAGCTTAAGGACTTTGTTGTACCTATATTCACGCATCGCCTTAGTAACAAAAAAAGGACTCGGTAATTGCCTGGCCGAGATAATAATATGTGGCCGTTGGCCCGCGTTCAAGACGAGTAAAACACTACGATTCCTATTTCGGTTGTGCGCGTTAACCGTTGCCGACATGCCGTTTGACCGAACAAAGTAAAAATTACTCTGCCCGGCCCGGGGTGGCGCAACCAGAAAGGTCCGGCCAAACAGATAGCATTGATTGGGCCGACTACACCAAACAGGTGCGGCAACGAGATTAGGCGTCGACGACGTTATCGGATTTGATGAGAAACGTTGGCAAACTGTCAGGATAACAAATATTTTGGCATAATAACGTTTAAAAAATAAGAGAACCCAAACACAAGAAGCGGAATAATGTGGCAAAGAACACAAAAATGTATATTTATCTGTTTTTTCTTATTTCTTGATAGTATTCTTCTAATTCTTAATCCGTCCTATTGGTTTTTATAATTATGTATAAAAATTGTATTCTAAGCAATTTCAGTTCACAAGTTCATTAAGTAGTGTAATTTTAAATCAAGTATATGTGTATCAGTCGCAGATTTACTTAAAAAATTTACAGTTAAGACGGATATGTTATTAAAACTACCGAAAATAACATTCTAGTTAACTTTATAATAATTATAAATCAGCGTGAAATGTTTCTAATTTCCTAACTAAAACAAGCCACAAATGACTTAAAATGTATTATACTGTTTTCTTCTTATTCCATCCTTTGTTAATCATTGTAATACATTAATAGTAACTGACATTATGAGCCTGCCTATTTGTTTACATTTTAAAGTTTTACCGATCGCATCAGCAAAAGGATGTGTATTGTACTTACAAATTGTTGTTATGTGAATATCAATTAGGTAACTATCAATACTGTGCGTTTGACCTGACAATGGTAATACACATGTTTGAACTATATAATATTATGCAGTATACATTCAGTTTTGTATTGAAACATATATATTATATTGAGTTTACCATTTCCTGGCAACTGTATTTTTACAATAATGGCAATTATCACATTATGCATTGCTTAAAAACTTAAAACAGCATGCATAAAATATAACGTAAAAGTAACTGACATTGCATTATAAAGCAATATAAGTTTACTTTTATAACAATTACTGATTTTTTGTTATTAAATAGTATAATAACTGAATTCCTACTAGAGGATACCGACAATGAATAATAAAATTTAAATTGGAAAACATTATTTTATCCGATGGGTCGATTTATACTGTGTTTATTTTTGTTAATATAAAATGTATAATAAATGTATTGAATGTAAATTTGCATTATAAAATGTATTTATTTATTTTCTAAAGGACATCATATAATTATTATTATTAAACACTACTAGCCTTTAAAATCTAAATGGTTAAAACGAAAAAGTCAAATCTTTAGCAAGTTATGTTATTAATTTTTTTTTTATTATGATATTATTTTATATACCAGAAAACTTGGAACCGTAAAAAACATCCAAGTAGTGTTGTTACTTAGATAAATATAATTCCTATTTAACTTAAATGATAAATCCATTTAAGTCTTCTGAGTATAAAATGTTGCATCATAATTTTAATACTTATTTACACTTTATATATTCGTATTCAAATTTTAAAATTTCAATTTTAATTGAATAAGATAATAAAAATAAATACATAATTTTTTGACAAATTATAAACGTATATAATCTTATAAACCATTGGCCAATTAAGCAAATTATACAGGTATATTTTTTTAGAAAGCTATACAGCAAAATGAAATAAAAAGATTCGTTAAAAACGGTTATAGTTTAATAAAATAAAGTATTTTCACTCATAAATTGATAATTTTTTGTTGGAGGTACTTAAGTTTATCTTAATGGTTATGTTCTCGTGAGTTTTAAGTATTATTTTGTTGTTGTTGTTGTAGTTACCAGTTTTATACAATTATTACTAGAATACACAACAAAATAAGAAAAATAAAACTCTTAGAATATTTTCACTATAAAAACTAAGTGCCAAGAATTATAATGTATGAGGCGTAGCACTAATGTCTAATATGCATGAAATGTGATTTAAAAAACAAATTTAAATATGTACAATAAAATGTTTCCTACTATTTATAGTTAAAGGATTATTTATATGAAAGCGTCCAGTGCTTGATATTTTTTAACACCTATCATTTTACTTCATACAAATAGAAAAATGTACCGAGGCTGATTTTGTACTTGTCAATCTTGCACATTAGGTGTACACATTTTTTAGCGATTAAATAAAATATACCTATAAAATTCAATATTTTTTTATTATTTACATAGTTTAATTTTATATTATGTCGTTGGTGCGTTTTTAAATTACTTTATAAAGTGAAATTGAATGATAATTAAATGTGTTCTAAACGTAGATTGCCATCTCAACTTTTTGAAGTTGAAAATTTGTATTTAAGCTAATTACATCGAACTTGGCTTCATTACTGTTGTTTTGAGCGTTTTCATTATAACTTTCTGAGAAAAATCCAAATACACTTCGCTGCCAGCGTGGTCGAATTCTTGGTCTTTTACTAAGACTGCGAATATAAAAATAAAACAAGTGTGTTATTTTAATCAAGTGCCGGGCACAGTAAAGACTGGTGCGAATTATTACAATATTTACTTGTTTACCTGGCCTCGCTTATTCGTGTCTATACTTATCTATACAGTATAGTTTACACTTATATTGTGGACTGTACTGCCAAAAATCGGTAAGATCGTCAAAATTCTAATGTTTTGTTTCTTTTTTTTAAAAACCGAGCATTTGCCATCGTTAATTTTCCCTTAATAATCTTAAAATGCCTAATGACTTTATTTTCTTCAGGATAAGGGTACAGAGGATGTAAATATAAAATTATTTTTCTTAATAAAATTAAATATTGTTTGTTTTATGAAAAGATTTGTACACATGTTATTACAAGAAAAGAAAATGTATTCTGAATATTTTATTTTGAATAAATTGCTCAAATAATAGGTTAAGGCTCACTTAACTATGTTATACTTACACTAAATAAGTTTAATTGTATATTATTTGCATGGTTTAATAACTTCGAAATTTCTCGTAGAACTCACTTAACATTTAAAATTTAAATGCTTGTGACCTAAAATTTAATTAATCAATATTGTATAATTGATCATTATAAAAAGTAATAAAATATGTCTTATTTTTTAAGTTGTATACAACTGAAATATTTCCAAAATAGCTAAGCAGCCCGAATAGGTCAGTGGCGTCATATGGGGGGGGGGGCAGGCACGGGCATTTGCCCCACCCCTGATTTTTATGGGCTGGTCAAATTTTCGGTAAGTAAGGCCGTAAATTATCTGTTTTCTTATGCAACCACCTACCTTTAATAATTAACCGTCCGAACTGACTACCAAGTATAATAGGTAAAAAGGTTTATAATATTTGTGTTTTTACTGTTTTGTATCTAAGTGTTTTGGAAAAAAAATGTATATATTTAAATGAGCATTGGGCCGATAAAAATTTTGCCCAGCCCTAAGAAAAACTGAAATGTCGCCTCTGGAATAGGTTAACCATTTCTAGAATGGAGGTTCCCTGACGAATTTGCTATCCGTTACTGGTCACCAGTCTATTGTCAAAATGTGTAATTCCCAAATGTAGTTCATATAATACAAATTACAGAAAAAGGATTAAGAAACTGTAACTATGTATTATCAAAATGTAAACCCGTTTTGTTGGTCACCCCACGTATACTGAAAATAAAATAAATTTTCTTTTTGGCAAGAACTAAATTTTTCACATTTTGAAGATTATTACTTTTACCTCCTTACAATTAAAAGTTTTACCTTTTGTCCTACGTTCATGTTCACTGTTTAATGGTGAAAACAAATTGTTGTTTATATGATGTTTATGTAGATAAGTAATAATATTATAAAATAAATAGAATAAACATTAAACTCTCTGTTGAGACGGTTGTGTTATGGGTATTTATCAGAAATACTATTCATCGACCACATTAAAAAAAACGGTTTTGAGTGTTCACCATTTGTTTACCGTTATAAGACTGTTGTTCCCGAATAACATTGCACAACAATAAATAAACTATTTGAAGGCCCATCGACAGGAAAAGCCAATGTTTACAAGTCCGCTTGAATAAACATACACAAAAAATGGCGTTCAAACATCAATCAAGTTTATTGATATCGTTTCAGTAAAACATCTTTGCGCTGCTGAATAGCATACTGTAAACAGAATAACTACAGATGATTAAAATTACTCATTGTCAACGCAATTATTGTTGATCATAAAATAAATTGCGTGCGCACCAATATCGTTAGCAAAAAAATATCTACCCACAACTGTTACTGTTGCCAAATTTATTGGTATGTAATGAAAATATCCATAATATATATTTATATATATGGACGTTTGACATACAGTTAGTTTGGTTATGATAATAATGTATAGGTAGCCTATATTTTAATTGTAATTGGATGCTTACATAAACATACGATGACAAGTATAACATTTGAGTGACTTTAAATTTCTAGACCTAATAATTTATTTTAATTTTCATGCTTCTGTGGCGGTGTTTTGTATAAATATTAAATAAAACGACTTGTTCCGTTTGTTTCTTTTGTCACTGCTTAAGCTACATACTACAACTTATGTAGTTTAAGAAATTAGGACAAAGGGACTAAAAAAAATCGTATGATTATCTTTTGGCTTATTTCCACTATCCCACGCTTAATATTTCAGTCAAATTTAAAATTATGTTAGTTAGTTGAAAAATGGCTTAGGCGATATGTAAAAATTATCAGAGTAATGTAAAACACTTGCTAACTATAATTAATAGTTTACTGGAATGTTCTAAATAATAATTTATATACAACTTTACTTTTATGTAGCACTAACTCAATAGAAATTAATTTCATTTTTAGTTCCAATAGACAATTATTATTATCAGTTACAGCAAGCTTCTTAAATTTATGATTTTATACTCAAGAGATGCACGTTTTTAAAAAAAAAAGACGCGGTTAATGTTGGATATTGCCCATAAAGAAAAGTTAAAGACTTTAACATACTCATACATGTTACTTTAACATAGATGTTATAATGACATTGAATTATGCATTTTTTCAGTGGAAAATATTTGATCAAACATCACCTATTTAAATAATTAAATAGGCAATAGACAAACTTTTATCTTTAATTGTGTTAATTATTTATAGTATAGTTGATGCGTAAATATTTGTTAAAACTACTTAGTTTCCCGAAACCACAAATCTCTCGAGACGTGTTTTGTATGAAAATAGCTAAGAAACTGCGCTGCAGAAGTTTTAAACTTTATAAAATACCAATTACCATTAGGCATTTTTCTTTGTTATGTTAGTATAAAAATATATATTTTTTATCTCTATGTCTAGTTTTATTGTAAAATGTCTCGAAACTTCTTAATAAATTAATGGGATGACAACACCTTAAGCTAGTATCTATAGAATAGAGATTTTAATTTCATTTTTTCCCTGTTCACAGATTCAAAAAGCGAGATGAACGAAGAAAATGATAACAGCAAACCGATAAAAAAAAGCAAGTACGCTGTGATTATGTTCATTCACGGTGAATCATTTGAATGGAACTCTGGCAATCCGTATGATGGTTCTGTATTGGCTAGTTTTGGGAAAGTTATTTTCGTCACAATTAACTACCGGGTGGGCGTTTTAGGTGAGTCTCTATCTACCTGCTCACGTGATTTTGGTAGCAGGACTGTTGTTTTAATAATGATCATTTGATACCGTTGAAAAAGTATTTAGTTTGGATCGATGTTTTTTGTTATTTTAATGTTGTTTAGGCTTTTTGAAATCAAACGGTGGCGATAATCCGGCCAGTAATTTTGGCCTCTTGGATCAGGTGGCCGCTTTGGAGTGGATCAAGAATAACATACAAGCGTTTGGCGGCAATCCAAATGCGGTAACCGTGATGGGACACGGTACCGGTGCAGCTTGTGCGAATTTCCTTATGATGGCGCCACCAGTCAATAACAACGGTATTTATTTTTAAATCACGAATATACACAAAAACGAAAAAAAATGCTCTGTTAAAATAAGAAAATCTATTTCTAGACATGGGCAAATCGTATATATCTAAATATATCTATATATTTTGACCGTCGTTTGTTTGTGTCATTTTCGTAGACCTCTTTCAGAGAGCTATACTTATGAGCGGTTCAGCGTTGTCCGATTGGGCTTTAGTAAAAAATCCCATTGTCAACATGATCCAAGTGGGCCAGTCGGTGAAATGCGACACCGGAGAAGACGAAATGTTCTTCGACTGTTTGCGCAGGAAACGTTTCACGGATTTGGTTTCGGCCAAAGTATACGCTCCTCCGTTCGCCGCAAAGTTTGGACCAATGGTAGACGGTGTAATGGTTACCAACGAACCGTTGCTATTGCTCAAGGAGCACAAGAGTTTAATGCGTAGGTCCGTGTACGGTGGCGTCATTTTTTTTATAAACGTGACGTTACTGATAAATGTTCTTTTCGGTCGTATTCACAGATATAACGTTCTGATGGGAGTTACAGAATACGAAAGCTATCATTTATTAGACAGCGTATCTTTGGTCCACGGTATGCTAGAAAACGAACAGCACAGCATGTTATTAGACTACATGAAAGCCAAATTTGAGGTAAACAATTAACACGACGACACCCGTTTAAGATTTCATAAAAATATTAACTGTTATACACATAAACGCCCAATAGCTGCTCAAGTGTCAGTGGCTCCTAATAATTTCCAAGTTCTCGGCAAGGTGTGTATTATTTTTGTTTGACAGCTTTTTCCAGATCTCACGTTGACGGCTACACTCGCACAGTATGCGGACCGTGATCGATCTTGGTCTTCGTCGGATGTGTTGGAAAATCGGGACGTCCTATTGGAGATTCTTAGCGATGCCATGGTCTTGGCCCCTTTGAGTCACCTCGCCGATATACAATCAGAAGTCAACGAACACACATATTTTTATGTGTTTACACACCGAAGCTCGTTCAACGAATACGACGTGGTGAGTCTACAATGCCATACTCGTTAAAACTGCATTATATGTAACGATTTTATGTTCATTTAGGCGAAGAAGAGCATCAACGGCGAAGATTTGCCGTACGTCTTAGGCGTTCCACTTGGTGGTAACACAATCCATTTTAAGACTCAGTTCGATCAAAAAGAAAAGCGGTTATCAGAGATGATTATGGCGCATTGGAGCAATTTTGCTAAGACCGGGTGAGTCATCCGATACTCATACCAAACTTCTAACGAAATGTGTCAATAAAATGTTTTAGTGATCCGAGCTTTTCCAAAAGATCTTCACAAGCGGACTGGAAGATGAATGCAAGATGGCCGAAGTACAGCGCTGCAAACCACGCCTATTTAGAGCTAAGTGAGTTTGAAACTTTTTTAGTTTTTGTGCCGATCGCCGTCAGCCATAAAACCGTTAATTCGTGACAAAAATAAATTATAATTGTTTTATTTATTTATTAGATCTAACGACACGGCCAAGGGCTAATTACAGAGTAAATAAATGCAAGTTTTGGAACGTCGATCTTCCACAACGAATTGAAGAAAAACGACAAAAAGACGCCGAACAATCCAAGCTATCGTTACCTTCTATACCGACAAGATTTATACCGCCTTGGACCGAACACGATTCGCCGGTATTTAGCTTTCCCACTCCAATGCCGGACGATCCTAATCATTCCGGAGGATTCCCCGATGATCCTAACCCAGGCGAAGAACCGTCGGCCGAACCATCTGACAAGAGACCTCCGGAAGTCGAAGAGTCATCGTCTTCCGTTGTCGTGTCTTTAATAATAATAATAGGTATTTGTTTTCTGTTGGTAAATATTTGCGCCTTTGGCGGAATATATTACCAAAGAGACAAACTAAGAGTGAGAGAACGACTGTTCAACAATCGATTTCGATGTAACGAAGCCAACACGAGTCGAACATTTGACGACGACGAAAATGACGTTTACACGAAAGCTGAGGACCCAGAACTTGCAGACATTCACAAGTTTGGTAAAAGTGAAGTTTACGATTCGGTCGCGTTGGCCAGCGTTAAACCAGAAGCCATTGGCGGCAAGCGGTTGGGAAAGTGGGCGGAAATTTCTAGGCAGAGAAGTAGCAGCACCGTTACCATGGATCCACATACCAGGGTGAAGGAGTGGATTAACACCGAGATAATACAGAGATATTCTCCGAGAATACTGAGGCGGCAAAGGAGGGAAGAGAAAAAAAGACAGTTGGTGTGTGCCGAAGACCCCGTCGAAGCCACCGAGAAAGTATCGTCTGAACTAAGTCAAGTGAACAAGTCCAGAAATAAAGTACAGTGTTTTTTTTTTAAATCGGTAGGGTTTATTTGAATTTTATAACGTGTTTGTTTTATTACTTAAGGTTTCCGTGGCTATAGACGCTACTCCTGCGGCCAGGACAATAAGTGTTTTGAAACAAACGCCTATAGAGTTAACAAAATCTATGGATGCGATGGCGCATCCTGAACGTGTGGAGATAAAACCATCGCTGTCTTTGGGTTCAATCGGTAGGAATCCCCTTAAGAGGAGCGACGCGATGAACGAATCTGACAATATGTTGTCATCTACAGACACGTTGCACAAGAGCTCTACTAGTATTCAGCTAAAGCCGGCTACAAAAGAGAAAAGGCCGGGAATAAAAGTTGTGCACGGATACTCGAAATCAGAACCAGCCCGTGACACCTTTAAAGAAGTTCTGTATAGTCAAGTGAGTATTTATTTAAGCCGGTTTATTCATTATGAATCTAATCATGTTACTCTAATGTATTATTATGCTGTGATGACAACACCCTGTTGAATTTCTATGATAATCTATAATAAAACTACCATATCAATTAATTGTATATCCATTAAACCAAAAACAATTTTTTAAACTTCATTTGATTTTTTATAATGCACATGTTCATTCCAGATAAAGAAATTATTTTAACGTTTTTTTTAAAAATATTTTAACCACGGTAAAATTCAGAAATATCATACTTTATTAATCTTTAACCATTTTAAATTTATTGGCCACAAGAATCAATACATTTCCCTTGTATTTATGCCTCGTTATATTGCATTACGCTTTGTGACTAAGAACATTTAACTTATTTCGTTTTCCAGGTAAGCAAGCCGAAAGCGACGATGGCGTTATCGAAAAATCCTAGCTTCGAATCGAGTACGCATTATGAAGACATAAACGTCACTTCCAGAGAGTACAACGGAGGGGACTCGTCGAGTGTGGACAGCTTACGGCGGATCAAGTATCCGAAAGTGTTACCGGACTTCCCAAACGATCGGAACTCGGGATCGGCTGACCGACGGCTGTCGTTACCACCGCCCGCGTTCGCCTCCATACCCGAAGGGGGTACGATCAAAATACCACCGCCTCCTCCCCCGCGAATATCGTCGACGTTGGGCCGAAAAAAAGACACGAAGTCCGAGGTGACCGTCATGTTCGCCAAGACACCGACGGTCGCAATACCGGAGGAACATAAGTCGCTTGTCGTGCCGTGCGTCCCTAACAAAGTTTGCCCGCCATCGCTGAAGAAAACATCCATTTCTTCGTCGGCAACCAACAGTAAGAAATCGGAACCCAGAATAGTGATCAAGGCGGGTTCGAAGCAACAGCAACAGCCCAAGAGAGTGAATATACCGCGGGTCGTTCATCCGCAGAACAGCGACAAAAGCAAAAGCAGCGGAGACAGCGGGGACACGGGCACGATTAAAAGGAAGAAGAAGTGAACGTTGCGTTTGTTTTACTGTTACTAATTTTTTTTTTACACGCCTACATGTTTTTTACGTTAATTAATTGTCCTTTAATGTTAAGAATCTACTAAGTTTTGTTATAGTTATGTATAAAGTATACTTAAGTATTTTTTTTTTTTTTTATATACACATTCTGTATGGTCCACCGAGGAATGTTTCCTTTCTTACTACCTCGGTCAGTTGTAATGACATTAAGAATTAGATTATTAACGATAGGTTTTTTTTATATGTATAAAATTCCATACATTTATTTTGTGAATAGAATCGATAATTGTTTGTGTAAACGAACTGCATAAAATTCGTAACCACCATGACCGACATTCGTGAACGTTGTTTTAACTTGTACTTGTAGTTTATTTTGATTAGTTTCAATGAAACGATTCATTTTCTAAAAACAATTTAGAATATTGTATTAATCCGCGTTTAAATTTTACGATCGATTTAGTTTCACATAGGAAAAAACATATAACTGTTTTGTGTTGTATTTTTTGTAAGGAGGATTACAAATGCAACCAAATAAAGACTGTTTTTTAAAAATGAATATCGTGTGTTAACATTTTTAAACATCTGCACCTATCAAACTTATTAGTCAGTTGAACGCACGTTATTAAGTTAACAATATATGAATGCGCTTATTTTCTAAATCAACAGTGAAAAAAAAATGATAAAATTTTCATTCATCCATTATCAATTATGTTTTAAAATCTTTAACATTACAAATACAGTCATGGGAAATAAAATACACTAACATTAAAACTTATTGAATTCACTAATATAAGTAACTTATATCGTTTTCCTGAATTGTACAGTTTCTTCATCTGTTAATTATTAAATGGTCCATGCTATACGAATAAATGAAATGGTCTATAATTACTGTTAATACAAATTATCTAAACTATAATAACCATAAATTCAACACAGTTATACTTAATCAGTGTATTAACTCCAAGTGCAAATATTATCTTGGTAAAAATAATTTTGAAGTTTTTACCTAGTACTCAGATACCACTTCAAGTTACACTTCACGTTAAACATGTCTGACGGCCTCAGTAAGTAAAACACAAAAGTTGTTGGTGAAGTAAAAATATATTATAATGAAATAAAAACAAAACGTAGTTATTCTTTATAGCACCAAGACGGTTTACTATTTATTCACTTCATTAAAATCTGTACAACACACGACTTTTAATATTATAATACAACATGTTAGATTTAATAATACATTTTACTAAAATATATACACACATAAATGCATAACAAGGGATAAATTAAGGTTTTTTTCCAAAAATAATAACTAAAAGTAACATAAATCATCTCTTCAGAGAGAAATAATAAGACATAGGTACAAATAATAATTCATTTCACTTTTGGTTTTTTTTTTTTAATATTTGTATTAATAAAAATTTTAAAAGGCAAATATCACAAGATGAAGGGTAAAATTTTCTCATTAGACACCAAAATCAGAAAACCGTAAATTTGATTTTTCTTTAAATCGCATTGCATATTTAATGGTAATGCATACGCGCTTATATTAACAAATAAACTAAGGTTTTTTTTTTTGTTATGTTTAAATTAATAAATACGACGAAGAATAATATAGTAATAATAATGATGTTTTTATGAGTAATATTTTTAAATAAAATATTTACAGAATATTAAGCATTGTTCGAAAGCATATAACACAGTAAAATAAGTATATATAAATATAAATATATATATTATTATAATGAACAGAAGTGGACGTGAAGCATTTTTAATTAGAGATCTTGGGGGGGGGGGTATAACTATATAAACTTTTTTCAGTCAACAATTTGTAATTTGTTATTATTATTTATATATATTATATTATGTTTGTTTTTAATTAAATAGAATTTTCTGCTTAGTCGTCGAGCGTTTCTTTGAGGGCGCGTAACTGCTCTTCGCCCAACTGAATTTTGTCCGATATCTCCCGGGCGTCGATCAACAATTTCGCTTTCATGGCTATGAAATGATCATAATCGGAGTACTCGTCGGCCGTTAGGTACCGGGTCAGTATGGTGGACACTATGTCGCCTCGTCGGTCGATGTTCTCCTTCAGCTCCTTGGCTTCCTCAAGCTGGCACGTCAATTTCGACTTCTTCTCTTCGAGCGTCTTCTGGAAAATAAATAAATAAAAATAGGTATTGCAAATAGAACGAAAACACCGCCGTTTGTTACACATAAAACCGTAGGCTCAACGTATCGTAAGGTAATCATCTTTACCTTTTCAGAATGGTCGGTGTCCAGCTCGAGCAGAGCGTTTTCTACTCTAGCCAGTCTGCCGCTCAGGCTAAGCAACAGACTGGTAATGTGCCCGACTTCCTGCACGTGAGTCCTAAACTTGTTGGCTTCCTGCAGTTTTGCCACCGACTTAACACGGTCTGCTACTGCTACGCCTAACGCTTCATTCACGGACGACTCTTCGGTCAGGGCTACCTGTTCATCGCGGAGAACCTTTAGTTTTCGGTCTAGCCTCGATACCAAATCCGCCTAAAAAATAAACGATAATGTTCAGTTAAACCCACTCAGTACCAGGTTGAAATGTAAATTTAATATTCATTAACAGGGGACTGCCTACAGTAACTTTTTTAAGTGTTAAATTATTATAGAAATAAATTTAACATACATGGGTTTTTATGAACCCCACAAAGCCTGTTGCTAGAAAGTATGGTGTAGGGTTATTAGATCTCATAAAGCAATAATATCAAGTCTCATATTTTTTATCTGTGGCAGTAAACCTGTTAATAACGGGGTAGCGGTGTTATACCTTTTTCTTTTGTAAATTGCCCATTCCATTACATTCAACCGTTGGCTGCTGCCTTTGTCTATAGTGGTTCAAGACTTTAGCTTTCGGCTCGGACGTGGCATAAAAGGATGAAGTAGGCGATAGTCCATTGTTTGTAATACTGTAAAAAATATTTAACATATTTATTTATCAGATACACATAATATAGAAAAATCCTATGAGTAACTAAATGATCATGATATCAAATCTTCACTAATTGGCTGGCATAGAGTAGTTGTCATTCCAAAAACGTTATCATGAATACAATAAATTCAAGTACCACTTATTAAGCTAAACATAGTAATGTATTTTGTTCAAAATTACTCATAATCCGCGTTGACTAAGTCTTTCAATGAGCTACTCAGTAAAAACCTTGATGAACTAAATTAATCCTGACTGATAATAATCAACGTCATGAAATTCAATATATAGAATCAAACATATTATATTATAATATGCTTTTTCCAATTGAGTGCGCTTTAATACATTCATAACCGGATCTGGTAAGTACATTAAATAGACATATCATATGTACATCGATATTACTTTATTACTTTTTTTTTCTAATTAAAAAAAAATCAGGTAGTCACAAAAAATATGAAAAAAGTAATTTCAACGCGCTTGACATGACGTACTAATGCGCAAAAATGGAAGTGGTTCACCTTGTACTTGTTACTTTTTGCTGAATTATGATTTTTTTAGGTCTTAATATATTATACACAATATAATTTTTTATATTTTAAATAACCATTCAATTTGCACATTAAGTAGTTAATTTTGATTTTTGACCATGTAATACGCATTGCTATTGAAGAAGAATATTAATTGCAAAATCGCTTAGATTTAGGTTGGTATAAAAATATTTTAAGAGCAAACACATTGTGAGAGTACGCCAATGTTACATAAACATTGCGATCCGTTCGAATGTGATTTTGTCAATAATGTAAATTTAGCATTCCAGTACAAGGTCGAGTAAACAATATACAATACCAACTATGTTGTTGGCTTAGCGCAACTGCCAAATGTATTTGATATTTACATTGTACACACTTACCAAACACTGTTATCACCATTGCAGTCGGGTTTTTCGGCTATAGAAGCTCGGGAACGGGGCATCAAATCCATGCGGAATAGGGATGAAACGTAGTCGGTGGATCGTTTCACGTCCGGCCCAGGGGCTGCAACAGCAAAGAGAAATACTAATGAGACCAGTGGAGCGCGTTTGGCAAAGTACCTTTTTTATCTTTGTGTTTTCCTTTCCCGAACGAGGAAAACGATTAGCGAGGAAACAACATAAGAAATAACGGTTTACATGAATATAACAAGTTTCAAGCAAAAGCCGAAACAAGTTCGATACGCGGTTAACCTTGTGATATGAACCTATGATTGCATAAAGCGTAAGACCTAAAATAACTTTATTAGATTCCACTCGAGTAATGTAACTAATGCTCCTCTTAAAGTTGATTAAATTTAAGAGAAGTGCTTGAAACTTTACTGAATGTTAAAAGTTAAACTGTACAGAAATCATTTTACTTAAGTAATGCAAGCAGAACGCCCGACCTCTATCAGTAACATTAATGTAAAAACATACTTAAACGTTTTTTTCCCGATTTGGATTTTACAACTTCTGATCTAACTTATAAGTATTAAAGTATAGTAGACCCTTCCTCCCCACCCAATTCTTCTCATCAAAAGTTCATATCAATAGACTATTCGAGGAAGCAATTAAACTTGTATCACATGTACGACTTGTAATTGACTCGTCAACTACAAGCCACAAATCGGCCCTTCTAATGAGACTTACCGAGTATGTTGTGGAGTTTGTCGGACGGTGAGAGATGGCTGATCAGATCCCTGGACAGTTCTTCGCATTCGATTTCCTCGGGCAACTTCTTGCGGACCGGCACGGGAGTGCTCGAGCCCGAAGACGACTTGAGGTCCGTCTGAGACGCTGCGTCCGACACGGTGGTGGTTGACGAACAGCTCCTAGAGACGGGCCGGTGACGTCTCTGCGACCTCGCGGGCTCGTCGTACCACGTGCACTCTGACCGGGATTCGTCGCGGTCACATTGGGTCTCCACGCAGCAGTTGGTCCTGACGGTGGCGGCGGCGAAGTCACTGGACGACAACCGGGTGGGCGAATGCGAAGGAGAGGGCGCGTTCAGGCTGAGACTGCTGTAGCCGCTTTCGGTGGAGCCCACTTGCGACAGGTCGGACTGCGATCGCTTTTGCAAGCTCAACGTGGACTCGGAATGCGGTATGGGGAACGCGGCCACCGTCATATCCTTGCCGGGCATGTTGGACGGGTCCGACTGGGTGCGGGGCGTTCTCGACGACCTTTTGAAATCATTGGTCGGGTTGTTTCGAGGCAAAGTTTTAGATAGTTGTTGTTGTTGCTGTTGCTGTTGTTGTTGTTGCTGTTGTTGTTCAACAACAATAGGTCTCTCGGATAAAACCGTCGGGGCAGCCGTCGGTACGTCGCCGGTAGGTTTTACCAAAGGAGATTGACTAGTATCCACTACCACCGCTGCTGCTGTTGCTGCTGCTGCTGCTGCTGTCGGCAGACGACCGCCGCCGACCATAGCGTTGCTATCCAATTTATTGCAGTCAGAATCCGCGGGCGCCACGTTTTCCACATCTAAAAACAAGTCTAAAGTTAACGAAAATCTACCAAAAAGTACAATCGGATCTTTTAATTATCTTCCTTAACTCTACCTATCATTGCCCGCCTCAATACCTTGTTCACAAGTTTCACCGAACGATTTTAATCGCGGTTAGTCGTTAACCAATCAATTTTGGCAATTAAATTCGTTGGTGACATTCGGCCTAAATCTTATTTTGCAAATCCTCGCATTTGGACGAAAATATAGCTTAGAAGTAACTGGGGCCATAAATAAAACGACTAAACATAAAACGTAATACCTCTATATAAACACTTTACTCTTCTTTGATCACTCTCAAGCACCATTTGTCTATTTTGTTTCAATCCAAATCAGTATAACTAGCAAACCCAGTTCATTATTTGAATTTCTCCAACTATAATATATTTGCCCTTGGCTTACCTTGAGGTTCTAAGATAGTCGCCGAGTCTCCGCGACCGCCGTTGGGAGACGCAGTCCTCTTGTAACTTCCCTCGAAGTTCGGCAGTCCTTTTTCCCGTTCTCTGGGTTCTCTCTTGTACGCCGACAAGTACGAAGCTTTCGATTGACTCCTGCGGACAAAACGGGACGCGTCTTTTATTAAACCGTTCAGCTTTACAGAAACCAACGACATTGCAACATAATATCAACAAAAACAGGGCCGCCAACGTTTACGCTACTCTATACTACCGTGCGGTGGCAGCTGCGGACATTACAAAACAAAACGAGGGGAACAGAAAAATATATTTTAAATCCACCGACGGCAATAAAACAAACATCAGACAGCCGACGCGTATTTGAAACATATGCGGGCGTTCGTATAATGTACATTATTACAATTAGGTATTCTAGTTTTATGAATAATAATATGATGTTTGCATAGCGGTCGAGATCGATAGTGCTGCTGCTGGTACAGGTCAACCGAAACGGGGTTACATTTTTTATTTATTTATTGCTCTGGCAAATGCAAACCGCATACACGCTTAACGGTTTGAAAATAATAGCAATAATAACATGGTAAATATTAATAAGAACAGCAATAGGTTCGCGTCTTCGTATTGTGATCGTTTGTCACGTTCGGACTGATTTAGCGACGTCGACACGGCTTTGTGTCGGTGTAGGTATATATTATTCGTAACAAAAGCCGTGAAACATGTTTTCGGTGCGACGGACACAAGCAACGCAATTAGCGTAATCCCCCTGTCTGTTTAGTTTTCACGCAGAAAAAAAGAAATTAAATTAGCATAAGTAATATTTGTTATTCGAAGAGAACCGACAATTTCGCCTATTTTTGTTTCCTTCACCCCAATTATACTTTTAGTCGCCTATTGTGTTAATTAACGACGCCGATCCAACGTTAATAATGCCCCAACGACAAATGAGAAGGTCTCTGCGGAAACGCAACGTTATCGTCCGGTCATAATGTCACCCATAATGCACATACGATAAGCCATAATGAACGAATATAGTATATTGTAAAAGTAAAAAGCCTCACACTGTATGCAGAGGACATAAATTGTTCGGCGGTTTATTTGCCAGTTCAGTAGCATAGTAAAAACGTCCATATGCATTCGCTTATGTTATATTATAGCCCAACATGGTTTTTAAAATTTAAATTGGATTATTAGCTCTAGGTTTCGATACTGTTACCTTTTGGTTTATGAGGTAATCAAAGCCTAAATTTGAAATTTATTTTTGTTAAAAAAATAATTTCAGTCAAATATAATATAATAAACCTATTAGGATCACATAACATTAACGCTTGTGTTACAAAACCAATTACTTCGAGATATTGACCAAAGAAAAAGACAAGAGCAGAGTCCGCCGGTTAGGGGTCAGTTCTCGATGGTTCGCTGCTGTTCGGTCAACGGTATAATTTATAAACCACAAACTGCTTTTACAAAACTAAGGCCTGAATTCTATACTATGATTACCGCGCAACGTTAGTTAATAGGTAGTAATCATAATAATTATTATATACCATGTTGCGTTGTCAGAAACGGTACACGAAAACTGCTATCGAGAACAGCTACATCGCAAAATTACCCAACTACAACAATACAATCGCATACGGGCTAGTCGCGCTATATAGCTTCATATCTCATGTGGGTTTTTTTTAATTGTACCACGTCAATTACGGCTAGTGGGTGGGTGTAACGGAGTTGTTGTTTTTAGACTTAATTACCGCCGCGATCGATTTTGAAAACGACTACAACTGGGTTTTAAGAACAAAATGTTACAAAACCGTTCCCCCGTCAAGCAATAGCGTACCCAAAACAGATTTTTGGTTTCCAACTGAAGGGAGAGACGTACGCTCAAAGTCGTGTGCCGAGCTTGATTGGATTTCACAAGGAATATTCCGGTTCATATCAGAACGTTATACCGACCAACTAGTAAAATACAATAAATATAAGGCAGACAGGTCAAATCTCTGTTACACACACACTAAGTGACGGGGCAGTACTTTTTTTTTTGACCGAACGAGCCGCTTTAAGCGATTTGAGACTAGATTTATCGTGACACGTTTAACCTCAAACAACGTTAAACAACAAATTGTTACGGATTTCACAACGGTTACAAGCTGGGAGATAAACGCGTTGACACCTTGGGCCACAGGAATAATTATAATTATCATAATAATAGAATATTGTTGTTATTACTATTATTGTGATATTATTCGATCGATTTGGTAGATAAGATATTGTAATAATTTAGTCCGGTTAATAGCTGACCCCATCACCGCGACAATGATTAGCTCTGCTTAACAATGTGGATAAGTATAACCGAAAATATTTGTAAAGTTTGAAATTACACAAACGTTGTTTTGACTTTTGGCAGGCCCCGGGGACACTGATAAAAATTAACACGGGTGAAAATACTAATCACACAATGACGAATCTTCCTACGTCTACACCACTATAATGTTATAACTTATATTCAAACACTATTATTATTAGTTGTGTATTAGATATTTAACATAATATAATACTAAATAGATTTTACAAAATGGTCGTCAATTTTGTGTTACATTGAAAGGTGAATAGAGACAATTATTGATTTAGAAATAGTACGGAGAATGGGAATTTCGGTATAAATATAAAACAAATTTTCGGCTATAAAAAGCGAAAACGTTGGAACCTGGCTTAACACCATAAATGCTACATTAGCCACGCATAGCGTGTAATTTAATTTTTAAATAGATATTTTATTTTTAGAAATATTGTACATTTGGTTATATTGTAAAAAACTAAAGTGAAATTCAGAAAATATAGTATTAACTGTTAAGTATCATATTGATATTTTATTTTGAACTATACATAACATTTGAGTAAAATATTAGGTTGGCGCTTCATAAAAAAATAATAACTGTGTCATAATATTTATAATTTCGATAAATTTAAAGTCTAGTGTGCGTACTTAGATAGACATTAACGCTTTAAGGGTTTTTTAAATTAAGTATTATTTTTATAAAAACGATTATTCAAAAGTCAAGATGTGTTCACAGCCAACTATAAAGACCCAATACAATTTTCGAACAAATGGTGCGTTCTGAATCATCGAAGAAAATTATATTTGCTTTTTTTTTCTTAGCATTTACATATTATACGAGTATATTATTGGGTGACGTTTGAAATAAACTCAAATTAACACATTAAGACGAGCCGAGCGTATCCGTATACCGCTAGTTTAAGGCCAAGGAGATTATTGTACATACAACTAGATTACAGTAGAAGTCCAGTAAGGAAACAACAGATTCTTTGACAACTTAATAGTTTTCCTCGTTGAAAGCCATCAACGTTATTGTACGTCAATGTAGAATTACATAATATTTACAATTTTTCAAAGCACTATTGACTTTTGAAACTCAAAATGGGAACGTATAAATATCAAAAAGAAAAACTGCAAAGTTGTAATATTATTTTCCGGGTCGTTGAAAGCGATTACCCGGTATAAAAGTAAAACAAGAGCGCGTAAAACGTAATCGCGGCCGACGCTTCGTATAATAATAGTTGTTATAATATATGTCTCCCGTTAACAATCGAGCTGAGCTATTGTAACACACAAGTATGTATAATAATATTATTTTAATAATAAATTCTAAATCGACTTCGGCGGTTTACTAGAGCAATTACACCGGCTTCTTACTGTTACGCGTGTGCATCGGTCCATTTTACAAGACCTCGACACGGCCGCTTCTTCTCCACAGCCCAGAAGAATAAATAAATGGAATTCGGCAGCGATGGCGTGGAGGAATAATTGTTGACAATGAAATAAAAAATAAACCGCAAGATATCTACCGCGCCACGAAAAGCCACGGGTTCAAAACCGTGAAAGTACATTTATAAACACATAACGTTAACCTTTCTTGACGTATAGGTAATGTCCGTTATCACCTAGCAATTAAAATCGGTAATACTATATATATATAAAAATACACATCCTTTCCAGACGCGAGATAGTACAACCGCGTATATACTTGGGTACTTATTCATTTACATTTACTACTACAGCGCCGATACAACTACTACTACTATTACTGTTACTGAGTGCAAAGTCGTTTTCACGGCCCCCGGCCCTGTTACAACGCACTGGGTGAAGATTAATCAAACACAATAATACACACACATGGCGTTTATATAGAAAGCAAAAGTTCCTCTACCGGTTTTTCGTATGCACGCGGTTGTTGTGTGTTCACGGCCAAAACAACAACGCTGGAGAGAGTTATATTGCTATTATTATTATTATTGTGTATTAACTATTACCGAACCGGCGAGGGGGGGGGGCTCTTCTTCTCGGCGACAAAAAAAAAATAGCAATAATAATAATTATTGTTATCCTCGAGCTATCTCTCTTTAGGTAGGTATTTTATTATATTTTTATATTATTATTGATGCGCGTTTGCTAAAATAAATGTCATCCGACTGGTTTTCTTTTTCAACCATAATCTGCGCGTTATTACGTAATGGCGACCGATGGGATTTCTGTAATTTTTATTTTACTTATTATTCCTTCTTACTATTTGCGAAACCCAATTAACCGGCTGGTTAGGTTAAAATATTTGTAACATAATAAATAATTATCGTTGCGTTGTGAGCGTTGTGAACACACACACATGCATGAACGCATACAAGGAAAAGTATATTATGCCTAAACGACCATCGAGATGTATAATATTATTATTATTATGTATGTGCTCGCACGGTCGTCCTTGAAAGAGGTGGTGCCTAAGCAGCAAGGACGATTAACACATAGCCCTATACGCCGCACAGGATACCCTACACACGCTGGCTGTGCTGCCCTGTAATCAACGTGAAAGTAAAATCGGTTTACACACAAAAACGAGTGTAGATATTCTCTTTTTATACATCTGCAATCGCTGGGCCTCTCCTACCCACCCACGGCCGTCGCAGAGGAAAATCGTTCCAAGCCGTTTTCAAGACCGAAAAATAATGGTATAAAACAACGTCAAACGATCCGAGTTCCCACTGTCATGGTACACACACACATAATACACACGCTCCATACGTTTTCGCTGTGGTAAAAAAAACTATAGACAGAATACCTCTCTCGA